TATAGATATACCAAAAAATTATCAATAATGGTAAGTCTTTTTTTTTTTTTTGAGATCTTCTCAAAACTATTGGTTGTGGTTATTGTACAAAATCATTAGCAGTGATATCAATATCATATGAGAATTCATCAATGTTATTTTGTTTATTCATCCTCATTAATTCTTTTACTGATTTAAGGAACAAAAATATCTCGAATAGGAAAAGATAAAGGAGTATTAACCTATATCTCCTTTATATCAAAATTGATCTTTCAAGATTTTTCACTATCATTGATTTTATAATTTTCTAAGAATTTTATATTATCATATTCTATATTCTATTATTTTTGTACTATGATTAGGGCAATAAAATCTATATCCCTTATTTTTTTAATAACCAATAAAATACTAAAAAATTTTTGGATCCAACTTCTTTTCATGTGGATTGAAGACTCTTATTTCTGTAAGACAACTCTAAATATATTGAAGACTCTTATTTCTGCAAGACAACTCTAAATATATTGAATACTCTTATGTCTCAAATTGGGTTTTCTACTCGTCCATAACTCAAATGGAGTTATGGAACTAATTTACTAGAAATCTATATTGTTGTCCTAAAAGTTTCAACTCATATTGACTCAAATATAGAGAAATAACTCATTATGCTCCTAATCATATCTGTAAGAGCATGATTTTACCTTTCAGTAATGTTATTTGTTGTGGCACCCTGATAAGTCAAATTGAGCACAAATACCTTACTTTTCTAAGAATTTATAAAATGACCAAAATTCTAACCAAACTTATCATATTTACTATAAAATTTACTATTCATATCATATATGATAATTTTGACTTTTCTATGTAATTATTTCTTCACTTCAATTATGTATACCTCAAGAGTCTTAATAGTTTGAGACTTTTTATATATTAAATTCATATAGTTATATCTTGATAAGTCATCTTTAAATATGATAAAATATCTCTCTCTACTGAAACAAGGAATATAGAGTAATCCGTAGATATCAATATGAATAATCTTAAGGATTTTTTATTTCTTATGATATTTTTCTTTGTATACTTTATTTGCTTTTTCTTAATGTAATATATGCAAACATCAAAATTACTAAAGTCTAAATCTTTCAAAATATTATCTTTACTAAATTTTCAATTGGAGATATGCCTCAAACATCTATGCCATAATATAGAAGATTTTTCATCATTCAAACTATGTGTCAATTCAATATTTGATTATAGGGTCACTAATATCTTTACAAATTGAATATTCAAATTAATTTTACACAAACTATCATGTATAATTCTAAAATCAACTTTTATTGAATCATAAAATATACTAAGTCTATCATTACCAAAAGTAAGATAATATCCTAACTTATCAATTCTAGATAGAAAAATTAATTTTTTAGAAATAATAAAAATATAGTATGTGCCTGCAAGATCATTTAGATAACCCATCTTTAGGTGTAGACGATAAGTTTCCACTACTATTATTTTTGCATTAAGATGATTTTTCATAATGATGAATATTTTTTGTTCTTTTGGTTTTCGGATTGAAAGGAATATCTAGATATCATTGGTATTATAAGTTGAAGCATCAGAATCAATTCATTAAGTATTACAAAGAATCTATGTGATGTTTGATTTGAAAGTCGAGTTTATACCTTTCTTTTTTAATTAAGTCTTACGTTTAATGTGGTCCTTTTTTACATATTCTTTCTTGCCGCAAAAGAAATACAAAAGCTTTCTTTTTATTAGTCTTTTTAGCATTTTCAAACTTAGCAAATTTGTTTGGTGTATGATGCTTCGACCTTATTTTCTTATTACCAACTTCTTGAGTAGTAGTTAGAATATTATGAGATCTTTCTTAACTTAATCTTAATTCTTCCTGAACACACATACTAGTTAGCTCATTCAAGTCTCAGTTGTCCTTATTTATATTATAGTAAATCTTGAATAAGCTAAATTGAGGAGGAAGATAATTAAGAATGATCTGTATAAGGAAAGACTCATTCACAATCATACCTAATGCTTTAAGTTTCACAGTCTTATCACTCAAATTGAGAATATAATTCTGAATCTCTCGAGTGTCATTATATTCAGTCATAGTTAGTTTTTTCATTAATGTGTCTTTTATAGTCTTCAAATATTCTTGTGCGCTAGTTGTAGACGATAATGAAGCCTTTATATTATTTATATTTATCATTCTTATAAACATTAAACTGAGCCTATTAGATCCTTCCCAAGTATTCATTTTATTAACTTGTTCTATAGTGCTTTCATAAGTCAAGTTTACATATCTTTTAATAAGTAATACTAAATCAAAATCTAATATACTTAATGTGATCTGTACATCTTGAATAATTTGAACCAAAGAGTATAGAGATACTAGAAGCATTAGAGTGTGTGGAAGGAAGTACCATTGTAAAGTATAAAATAACATTAATCTTTTTAGTTTTCAAGATATGATGAATTATTGATATCATCTATCTTTTACATTTGGGTGAAGTATAAATATATCTAGTGTTCACTCAAAATTACTTTTGAAAAACTAATATCTTTCTTTGGAATAGTATTGCTGCCTTTCGATATATAACCTTAAACTATAAGGATATCTAAAATAGCATTATCCGATCCTATCACATAATTATTTGAAGTAGATTCTACTTTCAAATTATCTAAATCTTCTAATTATTTGTATCATTATGAATATTATTTATAGTCATAAATAAATAATATTGTAAAGGCAGGCCAGTTACCTCATGGCTCTTTCGTTGTATACAATAGCACATGCACGCAGTCATTGCCTATAATTAGGCTAGCAACCCTGAGATATCATCACCCTCAATAATATTATTGTCAATAATAAACTATCAATAGTGGTCCATTAATCAAACATGAGGAACCTCGTATTGCTCGTAAGTAAGAGATTAGATAGAAAATTAGATCAACAACACAAATATATTATTAAAACATTCTGAATAAGAACCGAATAACATCTTTTTGAAAGATGTTAATAAACAAATCTAAGGTATTTAATTTTAAAATTATGGCTCTGATACCAATCGAAAGCATAAAAAACTATAATTATGCTACTATTATACCAAAAACTTTAATACTAGGATTAAAATCAAATAATGATAGATCAAGATTTATGATGTATACCTTTTGATACTATTTAGAAAGTCTTTATCTGATTTACAAATGCACCGTCATCAGATTTAAAAATTATAATGATGTCAATATGTAACAAGAACTGATTCGTCTTCTCCTTTGTTTCTATCCTTTACAAGACCACTATAAGTAATGGATTAGAGATTAAGAGAAACTAAAAATAGATACATAATCTCAATAACTAGTCTTTCATTCGTAAAAGTTTATATTTTTTTATAAATGAGAGTAGAGGGTTTAGGTTCACTTATCAACATCATCTCCTAAAAATTATATTATAATTAAACTTATTTTTTATTTATTAATAACCATCATTAAAATCTAATTAGATCTATAACATATTTTACCTAATTAGATAAGAACATTCTTCTCTCATTAGCTGTGGATACAATAAACTAAATGAAAAGATCATACCTTTAGCCTAGATTGATGCGCGTCTACGTGTCACAAAAAATCTTCATTTCTCTTCGCTTTCAATAACTATTCGAGTTTACTTGGTCTCCAAGGACGGTCGATGATGATTGATGATAACCCCTAATGATACATTTGTCCAAGCTGTGGATGTTACTTGAGGTGGGAAGAGGAGGTAAAGGTCACGATCGTAACAAGTGCGTACGAAGAACAAGTTGAACCACAGCATTTAAATTATGTCTCGATGCATGAATGCGCCATATGTTTGGTTGTGGACGAAGCTTCGTATCTGTACTGCACAATCCAAGTCAAATCCAAGCAGAATGGCCAGGAGACACGCTAGCATCTGTGAATTCATATGAAGATTCTTTCAACATTGCTGGCCGTCTCTATTTATCATCCTCTTCATGCAAGAGTCTCAATCTGCTTCCTTCCTTACATCCCAAGGATCCAGTCGTTCTCATTCATTAGTTTGCTTGTCTGCTTCTTTTTCTTCTTCTCTCCTTTCCTAAGGTACTAGGGAATACATTTGACTTCAATGTCAACAAGGTGGGGCCAAGACGGCATCACTTCTTTTGTACCCTATATCACAAAGTCGACAGGAAATCTTCGACGAGTATGACCAGCCTAAAAAACTGTTGTTTCCTTGAGGAAGAACATGCACGTATACCGAGTTCAACTACTGTACCAACGATTTGCCGTAACGTGTTTCTAGATATCGATTAGGCCTCTCACGAAGCTGATTTCAGCATTCAACTCCGCAGGTTGAGTTGAAGAGCAGATGCTGATATCCGAGCCTTCCATGGCGTTCTTGTTGCAGGATAGATCAATCATGGAGGACTCGTGACGGAAGTTGAGAGAGAGCGAGAGAGGCTCTTTACTTGGGGGTTTCTTTGACGGTACAAACAATATGAATAACTTGTCAGGATTTTGTAAGTAGGAATATCGTGTTTTTAATACGAGGAGAAAGTTTTTGGAATTCTGAAATATTTTAAAATATATTTCTTCTCCAAAAAAAAAAATCTATTTTGATGTATATTTATTTCTTCTCGTATAATAAAAAACAGTGACATATCATTACACCCTTATGTTTGACTCTAAGAATAACGACTGCGGTATCCTAATTCATAGATTGTGCCACTGTGACCGCCGTAAAGGTTTTCTCTTTTGGTGTGATTCGGTGAACCTAAAGAGCATTTCCTCTTTCTTTTGGGCTCACAAGTGCTTGATTACACTGCATCCTCAGCCATAGATGAAATTTATTTACTAGAACGATACTTTGGCATCTTTCGAGTGTGAAAAAGTAGAAATTTTAGCCCACCAACAATAATTAGATGGTTTTAGTGTAAAAGCTTCAACTTTCCTGCTAAGAACGAAAGTGGTTTTTGGGTCTTTTTATAAGGTCTCCTGGCATTGAAGACTCCAACATGGCATCGTGGTTTGGTGTCGGTCGCTTCCCTTGCCCTGCTCTGCCCTGATGAGTTGGTTTTTGCGTGACCACAAAGAGGCTTCGATGCTTGGTTTCGATTAAAAGTGGGGTTTTGATGGCTGTTACGTTGGGGATTCTTCCGTTGGTGTGAAGCCGCGTCGAAGGTTTCCGAAAGGAGCTTTCTGCTTTCTTTTCGAATCTTTGTTTGTGGCGCTCTTCGCGTTATCCTTTTGGTATTTTACTTCTTTTTTCTGTTGTTCTGGATATGGTTTCTGCCGATGAATGCTTGGTAGGATTAGAGATAAGTTCTTTTTGCCTCTCAAAGGCTTAGTCTTTGTCTGCGTCCTACGTCTTAGGTTTATTGGTGTGCGTCATAAAGTTTTGTTTTGTTTTTTGAGCCAATTTAAGATTCGATGTTCATTTGTGAACTTTTCTGAGCATTTTATGATGCTATAGAATTGGGCTTTTTTTGAGATTCTATTCTATTACAGAAAAGGGATTCAACTTTTTCTCTTCTTCTGATTTATTCCGAGGAGAGGTTTTTGGATTGTTTTCTTCCCATTAGACTTTGTGATTTGGACATCCACTCCTGTTGGAGGAGAGGAAGGTCACTTCTCCCCTGTTCTCTCCTTTTCCTCTGATAATTGAAGGGGAATTCCAACGTTTTGTCCTCCTTTTCATCTATCACATTTCCTCTGCTACTTATGAACTGATGAACCAATGTTTTCATATGATTAATCTTAACTGCATGAAAGCTGATCTTTGTTTCTTCTTCTTTATCCTCCTTTTGCAAGTAAAGAAAGATGTATAATTGTTAAGACTGGGAAAGGGAGGCAAAGAGTTGGGTACTCAAAGAGATGGAGAAAGGCGACAGGTTGCTACATAATTCAGTTACTACAGTTGCACTTGCTATCAATGGGACAAGCAACAGCAGGCATATAGTTCAGTGGGCTTTGAATAAATTCATTTCTGGGGGTGGAGTTATGTTTAAACTTCTACATGTTCGGTCAAGGATTAAGATGGTTCCGTCACCAAGTAAGTCATGACAGCTAATTTAACTCTTTTGTTGGTCATTCAATTTATCTTTTAAGTCTTTCCTTTCCAATTACCATCTTCTTTGTTAAAACAGGAACAAGGATAGGTAACACTCGAACTCTTGCAATGCGGTTACACGCATAAGAATTAAGCTATGCTGCTAATCAACAACTAACAATCTTGGCTATGGCAATAGACACATCCGTCAACCAAAAAAATAAAACTCCAAGTTGTTAACATAAATGAAGTTTCATACCGTGATCAACTTTGTAGTTGATAAAGCTTCAATCAACTCATACTGATACAGAATGACCATCTACAGGAACCTGCAAAATCCATCTGATATAGAGGCAATTAACAGACAAATGAAACTTTAGTTATAGCTTTTATATTGGCTTGTAGAAGAAGTTTTGTTAAAATTTGTATAATGAAAAAAATATCAAAAAGCATTTAGCAAGTAGTTTTGCAGGTTGGCCACGTGATACAACTAAATGGATACCTAAGATTAGTGGAAGCTGACAAACTTTTCCTTGGATGCACTTCTTAAGTTTTTATGGAACTCATCAAATCTTTAGCTAATGGATACATCTCATCAAATGATACGTTGCAAGACATCCTTAGTCAATTCTTTGCTTTATCATGATGTTTTTTCACAATCTTAGGTGCTTCTATAATTATCATTTAATAGGTTAAAAGACTAAAAGATTTCATAGTAGAAATATAAATCTAGATATGTGGCATATTTGGTCCATTTTATAATTTATTGTAAGATCAGATTGTTGAGCAGCTAAAAAATACCCTGCACAAAGTTGATGAAGCTAAGATGAGAATGTGGAACTAAATTTGTGCCTTAGTAGAGGTTAAGCTGAGAGAAAAATCATTTAAGATAGTATTGATATGTTTAAAGGAGGCCTAAAGTTCTGATTAGACGATGTGAGTCGAGGATGGGTATTGTGAGGAGACATAGAGGGAGACCTTAGTAAAATTCATCAGAGACAATACAAAAGAAATTTGATTGCTCTCAACATAACTAGAGATATTGTATTCCACAAAGCCCAATGGCAGAAAAAAATGTGTATTTTGGCTGCTTGTTGTTGTTGGGAGAAATATCTCTACTGTCTTAGTTCATTGACAGTAGCTGATGGTAAATGTAAAATTTAGTCGATCTCTTTTTCTTATCACATTTGTCTCATCAAGGACAAGGAATAGTCGAATAAGGCTAGTCGAACTTGTTCATGAAAGTATAAAATTACATCTAACACAGTATCTGATATTTTGAAACTTGCTTGGATTATGCTGATTCCATTTTGATAGTTGAGGCCAATCACTTCTGATTTCTTGTTTGCATAATCCTTGAGAATATAATGACATCTTGGTCCTATTCCTCATCAATTTTCCTTGTTATGTGTGGGAACTGTGACTTGTCTATCTTCAGTTAATCAAATTGCTAAAGGCGAGAAACCGTAGTTACTGTATCTGTTTGATTCCAGTTGTTGCATTAATTGCTTCATGCATTATCTCTATACTTGTATCTTCTTGATGCGTATAGTTGTTTTTCATCTCTTGTTAAATTTTCATGAGAAAATTAGTTTTTACATGTGCCTTGTGCTCAGCAAGAAATGGATTGGCGAAGGAATATAATATGATTTGGATTTTTGATGAGTCCATCTGCTTAAAGAATGCAATTTTTTGTTCTGGAATGGGGTAATAAAGGAAAAAATAACAGATAAGTGAAATGTAAAGAAAGAGAGTGGACAATAGACTCTTTGTTCAAGCCATGAATTAGCATGTGAAGTCCTTTCATGTAAGTTTAATTTACGAGGACTTTATTATTTGCATTATTCTCAGACGTGGTGAAGTGTTTCACTCCTGGATATTTGTTTCGATATCTATATCTATAATTATGTCTACCTTGACCTGTCCTGTCCTTATCTACATTTTGGCGCTGAATATCCAATAGTTAGGTTCAATTAAATTCTAATATTTCTCCAATGAGAAAGTGTAAGCTGCAGCAACCAAGTATATAATCCAAAAAACCAATTTTATCGCATTGATGACTACTAATCTATTATATTTTCCTTTACACAGAGTCTTGCAACAGTAATCTAAAGAAAAAGAAAAAGAGTGAGTAGCAAGAAAAGAGTAGAAGATAGTTGAAAGATTTAGAGCAGAGAAAGGTACCAGGGCCTACTCAATAAACTTTCATCAAGATAAGCCCAATTGCAGTTAGCCACATGATCTTTTATTTGTGATTTTTTTAAAAGGCAAATCCTAATTAAAGGACCTAACGATAACAAGAATTTTCCTTCCATGAAATTTGTACATGTAAAACTCTTTTTTAAGAGGCACTTATGGCCTCCTAAACCTGACTATTGCAATTAAATAACATCCTAATTCCATTTTCTACCTTTTAGAGGTCTAATACACTACATTTTGATGTTTATGTAGCTTTACATCTTACTGAAGGAATCACTAAGGGTGGAAAGTCATTAAAAACATCCAAAAAGAATTGGCTTGACCCAGATCCATACACAAACTAAATCTCAATATAGGACCTAAACTAAACTTAAAGACACCTATATAAAAAACTTGTAGTTGTTTAAATGATAAGTTATCATCATTTAATATTATCACACTATCATTTAGAAAAAAATTGATTTTTTTTCATGTTGTGTTGGCTTTTACAATTGGAGTTCCATTAATTTTGTGTTTAAACATCTTAACTATTATTACCTTTAAGTCCTCAATAAGCTGCAGACTTAATTTCTACACGTCATGTACCTATTATTTTAGTTGGGAATCTCCCTGTTGAGCAAGTGCAAGATGATGTTGCCTCTGCATATAAGAAAGAAGAAGAATGGAAAACAGAAGTGATGCTTCGCCCCTACAAGAATATGTGTTCTGCAAAGCAGGTCAAATCTATTGCATTGTTTTTTGTTCTCAAATTAAAAATAAGCTTCGACTATGTTAAACTTATACTATATCTCCAGATTGAAACAGAAGTTGTGATACTTGAAGCAGATGATGTAGCTGAGGCAATATCAAAAGAGGTCACAGAAAATAGCATCAGCATGCTTGTTATAGGTGGTTCTTCCAAAAATGCAATAATCAGGTATTATGACTCAACCTTTTTGATTAGGAAAAGAAGGCTGCTGTGACTTGCATAACCTATTGCTCTAAGAAAATTGAACAGCAATCTATTGCAGATAAAGCAGAAAATAGTAGTCTTTTATGAGAAAGACTCATTTACACATAATCTTACTTTAGTAGGTCATGATGAGTTAGTGTTCAGTTCGGTGCAGTTTGCGATTGATACAATAAGATTTTGTGAAATACAATGATAAAATTTAACTGAAAATCCTAAGAAGAGTATGATAATTATTACGACCTACAGAATTCAAATTGAGTGATTTTGAATATCATTTGACTCGAACCGAATGCCACATATCAATCAACATAAATTTAAAAACAAACCTGGCCTCATTATGTTATCAGATGTTATAATCTGAAAGCTTCTTTACATGTACAAAGTTAAATCTGAATCAGAAGTATATGGCCGTATAAGTAGCAAAGTATTTCCATACTATCAAGTTCTTTTATAGTTACACCGGTTTGAATTTTCTCAACAAATTTTGCTTTGGCTTCAAATATGTGCCCCAAAAAACTATGCTTGAATTTAGTTTGATTTACTCTTTCATCACATGATTCAATTGGTGTTTTTCTGATAATCTAACATAAATGTTGTTTATAAATAAATGTCAAGGTCTAAATAGAATGTTCTCTGGGAAATTACTTGGTTTCTCCATCTTAGTTTTTGTGATTTCTGTTAAATATGTTTCTCTTTCACTTTGAATATATTAATATTTCATATATTAGTCAGCTTTTACATAAGTGTAAATTAGACTTTGTAAGGAAGACATTAGTCCTAGTAAAGCACTTAAAGCCAAACAATTCGTGCACTGGGGTTTTATTGTTTGAATTGTCTGGCTTTTCCATTGAAAAATAGACTTCCTGAGTTTTCATATTCAAGTTTGTCCAGCCCAGCATCTCCTTGTTGGGGTAAGGCTGCAAAGATTGGCCTTTGACAGACCCCGTATTTTATACGAGCCTTCTGCGTTGAGCACCTTCTGATCACCAGATTATGGAAATATGGTTGATTTTATATCTTTTGACATTTCCCTAAAAGTTTCCATATATATAGTCTTACATAATTCCCAATTTAGTTGCAGTCAGAATTTTTTGTGTGTAAACAATGATCCCTTCACACTGCATGACTGCATAAATATTTAGATGTCCATACTTCATTATTCTGGTCTTACAAACATATTTATACATTTTTTTGCTTTAAATCTCACAAAGTTTATGATGAATATGTTGCTGTAGGAAACTTTGGGGAGGCAACTTGTCATCCAGAATTGCTGAATGTACTCCAAGCTTTTGTACAGTCTATGTTGTTTCAAGAGGTAAACTGTCATCTGTTCGTGCATCGGCATTTGGGACAGATGAAATTGCACCCACATCAGTGACAAAGGATAGTATCAAAGAAGAAAATGATTCTAGTGCAGTTTTTTATAGTTCTTCAAACAATTCTCCAATTCTTAAATCGGGTAATGGACTCTGCCTCTCTGACACAAGTTGCAATTAACTTATGCAGTACTTGAGATGACAGATTTAATCTCTTTTGGTATAGAAACTTCAGATCATTTTCATCCAAAAGCTCCATAAGAATAGTAGATATTGCAATGAGTATACTTTGACAAGTACCTATCTACTCTTAGAATGAAGTGTCATTGAGGTCAATCTAGATTCTTTTTCTGGTAATTGGTTTTTCAGTATAGATACATGGATCTATTATCCATAGTTTGATCATGGAATGTTGCAGTTATAGGCTTGTTATTTATATCCATGTCAATTGTCACTAGATTCATCATAAATAATTATGCAAAATTTTGGAACTGTCAAATATGAGTTATGATGAGCCTTGTTGTGGAGTGGTCTGAACCCAAACCACATCTCCACCTGGACTCATGCTAGGATTGGCCATCCTCCCTCATGACTGACCACATGAAATGGATCTACATTGCAAATTAAGGGTTGTTCAGCTGTCAGGCCACCATCTTCAACTGGTCCAACCACGTGTAGGGCTGAAAGACTGCTTCTGGTGCCTTGTGTGATGCTCTATGTAATTTCTATTAGGGAAACATATGTTCAAATTTTATCTGGAGTGGAAGTGAATTCCTATTTGAAAAGTGACTCCTACTTGAGCTGGAAAGAGACTGCATGTTTCCTATTCCAGACAGGAAGCAATCCAACTTGGAAAGGACTTCATATGACAACTCCTAAGAGTGATAATAGGATAACAAGTTTACCTCAGTACCAACCTTTTAGCAGAATTTTTTTCATTTTTCTGTTGAATTCAATTTTTTTCCTTATTATGAGTACTTAGTTTGATGTTTATAAAAGCTCCTAATTTGTGTCTAATTAGTGTTCTAAAGAACAATGATTGAAATTTCGTACCGTACCAGTATTTCGAGGTTTGCTCGGTATGGTACAGTACGAACGTACCGAACAGTATGTTTAAAAAATATTAAAATTAATTTAATATTAATAATATTCAATATATATAAATATATAAAATCACAGAAATATAAAATAGTTAACGCTGGTGTGCTTAAAATGATATTAAATATATTATATTTAAACGATATTAAATATATAAAAAATATATAACTTAGCAGCGCTCACCTGAACCCTAGGTGAATAGCTACGGCGTCGAGGGATGGCAGCAGCCGCTGCAGCGAAGGAGCGGAAGAAGAAGAATCTTCTTCGGTGTCAAGGGAACGATGGCAGCGGGCGCCGAAGAGCTGCGGCGTCAAGGGAGCGATGGCAACAAGTTCCACAACGAAGAAGAAGATGACGAAGGAGGAGGAGGAGGAGGGCGAGGCCGGGTACTATTTCTCGAAGCTTCTCCTTCTTCTTCGAATGCCTCTTCTTCCTCGCCTCGCCGCAGCCAGGTTGATATCGCCCGGTAAAAGGCAGTTCGCATGTCGGTCAGCTGGTAGACCGGTATGTACCGCCGGTATGCGTGGTACCATTCGGTATTGCAAACCTTGCTAAAGAACCAATAAGGATACAATATCCCCCAACAACAACAACCCTTACATATAGTCATACATATACCACATATAAGCCCTTGAGGCGTGTTTGAGACTTGATATCTTACTACACTTTTAAAATAGTTTTAGCTTAACTTAATTATTCCCATTCACTTATTCACTATTTTCCCCCAAAGAGAAGACACCCTGTCCTAACACCCTTCATACAGTCCTTATCTTCTGAGTCATGTTTCTAGATGCACCAAGCATCAAAAAGAGTGTGGAAAAGAAAGTTGTGCTTAAATTAGCTTATCAAAAGTTGTGCTTAAATTCAAGGTAAACTTCCTTGATAAGTTTAATGCAACACAGATAAAGATATTGTATCTTCTTTCTCGCAGATAAACAATTATGAAGTTCTCATTTTAGATATTTTTGGTACTAGATTTGGATAAAACTGTCTTTTATCACAACAACATTTCAGTTATAATTTCAGGCTGCTATCAACTTAAATGAATAAAATAGCTGATAGGATTTTCTTACTGGAATAATTCTTATGGATTTTTTTTCTATTTTGACTGATACATAAAAGCAAAGTTCACTCTGTAATATATGTTTCAGTCACATACACGCCAGATAAATTTGTAGGGAAAATAGAATACAGTGACTAATTTTAGGGGCCAACAGGTGGTCATCATTCAAAGTCAAACATAATCTTCTGCTCATCAACTTTATGGAATTTGACATATCTTTGCTTGAGATTTTGGAAGTTGTCCATATAATAAATTTATTCTTTCTGCAGAAATGATAGACTTGGACACAGAAGTAAACTTCCCTTCTCAACTTCCTTGTCTGCCACAGCTTCAGCAGAAATTAGCCTATGCCAGTAAAGACTATGAGAGCTCAAATTCAGCTAACTCTCTTCTAACTAGAAATACATCTCTGTTTGAAGATTATAGAGTTTCCAGTTCTAATACATCGGAGACTCAATACAGTAACAGTATAGCTAGTTTGAGAAGTTATCAAACAGACAAGTCATGGAGTTCTAATATGAGTTTTTATCGTTCGACAGAGTATTCACAATCAGGGAATGAGGTAACTAGACTCACATTATAAAGCTTAGTCTTTAGTGTACACATTTCTACCAACTGCAGAGTCCTAAGTCTGGAGTGAGAAGTTTCCAGATCACAAGAAAAAAATTTGGGATATGCAGATTAGTCTGTATACTCATTGCTTCACTTGTGCAGGGAGATATTCATCTTGAACTTGAAAGGCTGAGAACAGAAATCAACCATTTTATGAGGATATATAAATTAGCTCCAGATGAGTCAATTTCTGCTTCCCAGCAGGTGAGATTTTTCTTTGTATTAAAAAATATTTACCAAATAGATAATTGATATTTGAGATTTGTTCGCTTTAACCTGTGAAACCTTGCTTTGATTAGTTGAATGACATACATACACACCACACCGAGGAAATACTTAAGCTTCAAGAAATATGGTCTAGATTAGAGAAAACCACCAAGATGGCTCAACAAGAAAAGGAAAGACGTGAAGCTACAGAAAAGGAAGCTGAATATGTTAATGGATGCACCGAAATAGAAGTTTTACTGGGGAAAGATGTGGAAAAAAGTGCTTCTCATGAAGTCAGTGAGAAGCAAAGTCCTGAAAAGGAACTTGCATGCAGTAGTGAGCCCTATGTGAAGTACACTTGGGAAGAGATAGTTGCTGCTACCTTATCATTCTCTGATGCTCTCAAGATTGGAGTTGGAGCAAGTGGAACTGTTTATTGGGGAAGCTTTCATCATACAGTTGGAGCTATAAAAGTATTGAACTCCAATGAAGGTTACACAACCAGGCAGTTCAAGCAAGAGGTATTATGTTTCTTCTTTAGTCTTAAAGTCCAGATTATATATGTTTCTTTAGTTTCAAATAAGGATGTAAATCTCAATCCAATATTGGTTTGGCAAGTGGTTATAGAAGAAGAAACTGAGATATCAGCAACAACTGGTTTTATTATGGGACAGCCCATGTTCTATATCTAGCATTGAGTAGACCTCATGCAATAACTGTCCTAGTTCTACCCTAGTTTTTTGTTTTATTTTTTCTGAAATAATCACAAAAGTTATTTTGATTATGGGTCTACTATCAAATTTTCAATGCATTATCTTAGCATTCAATGTGTATTCCTAAATAATCTCATTTTTTAATTTTTTAATCATTTTATCTTACCAAGTTTAATGTTTGCCGGATTAGTCGTCATTTATATGTTTTGATTGCCGGATGTAATGCTGATTCAGAAAGATCTAGCTCTTACAGAATTAATAAAAATTCCTGGTTATTAATTGAACCAGTAAATATCAGTCAATATGAACTGATCCAACTGGTAAATGAAACCTCACTTTCAAAGTTCCTTACCAGGAGAAGCTTGTGATAGAAAATCAATTTTTGATCCAGGAGAAGTTTTAAGTTACAGTCTAGTTTTCTTTTTCAAGAATTTGTGTTGTCCCAACAAACATGACTGTGTTATTTCTATATTATTACACTTCAAGTGTCTAATTTGTGTTTCTGGTGTTCCAGCTTGAAATTCTTAGTAGAGTTCGTCATCCACACGTGCTACTGCTGCTTGGAGCTTGCACTGAAAAGGGCTGCTTGGTTTATGAATATATGGAAAATGGTAGCCTGGAGGACAGGTTACAATGCAAAAACAATACACTCCCACTTCCATGGTTCTGTCGCTTTCGGATAGCATGGGAAGTTGCCTCTGCTCTTATCTTTTTACATAACTCAAAACCAGAACCTATCGTTCACCGGGATCTTAAACCTGCCAACATTTTGCTTGACAATAATTTTGTGAGCAAGATCGGTGATGCTGGCCTTTCCACCTTATTTCCTACCTTAAATATGCCTTTGTCTACAATGTACAAGGATACTGATCCTGTTGGTACATTTTTCTACATGGATCCTGAGTACCAAAGAACTGGCTTAGTTTCACCGAAGTCTGATACCTATGCACTAGGAATGGTGATCTTGCAATTGCTGACTGCAAAATCACCAATGGGACTTGCCCTTATTGTTGAGACTGCATTGGAAAGGGACTGCTTAATGGATATTTTGGATTCTAAAGCTGGACAATGGCCTAAAGCTGAGGCAAAAGAATTAGCTATTCTTGGACTAAGCTGTTTAGAGCTGAGGCGCAAGGACAGGCCTGACTTGAAGGACCAGGTTCTTCCAGTGTTAGAGAGGCTCAAAGCTATCGCTGAACAGGCTTACGACTCAGCACTACATGACTCCTCTGTCCCTCCAAATCATTTTATTTGTCCAATACTGAAGGTATTCAAATATTGTTTCCTAGATCGTTAACCTCTTTCTTTATCATATACATGTGAGACTACTTGCTTTCAATCTTTTATTGTACTCATTAAGTGGAATTACATATGCTTTACGAGTTCCATGAAAGTTTGTACAGGTTGTGATGGATGATCCCTGCATCGCTGCTGATGGTTACACGTACAATCGTAATGCAATCGAGACATGGCTCAGCAGGAATGACACATCCCCAATGACAAATTTACTGTTGCCCACTCAAGAAATTATATGTAATAATTCTCTTCTTTCTGCAATCAAAGACTGGAAGGCCAGAACTCAATGAGACACTCCTTGGAAAGCGACGTTGTGTGTTCATCGGGTAAAGCAAAATCACATTAATCTGTAGAAATAGTCAAGTGATATAATAGTTCCCCACATACCTGTATCAACAAGTTTACTGTTACGATGCCTCTGCTGCAATAGTAGGTAAAATTCATCAGGAGGAAGAACAACTTCTACAACACATTCTGTGTAAATACAAAAGCGCCCTAAAGGTTTTTGGAGCAGAGAATTATGAAATTCTTTGTGGTGTTATGAAATGAATATAGATGATTTTATGCTAGTAGTCCAGAAGTGAATATTATGATTTGGATTATTGAATTTTCCTAAATGCTTTTTCATGGATGCTTCTATGAGGTGATTCTTGTCAAGATTACCTGACTAGATACAGTTTCACAAGAACAGTATGGTTGTCATTGGATGGTAATTCAATCTGTACCATCACACAGTTGGTTACCATGTTTCTATGAGTGTTTAAAATCCATATATGATAATGTGAGCATTCTGCTACTAGTTTCATGATTGTGCATATGGAACAGATTCATGAAATGCTTCTGAAGATTAGATTTCAGCTTATGTCAGACCATGTGATAGGAGAGGTTGAATACAAACTTCTGAACAACTGCATTCGACATATCATTCATGGCATTTAGTTTTGAAATCTGAAACATATTCAGTATCAGGATTTTTATAGACTGAAAATATAAGTGATATAATAAATAATTATCCTCTTAAAAGAAAACAGAAACCATCCAGTTTGATAATTTCTCAGCAGTTTATTATAAGAGATGTATGTCCAAATATTTCCAGAGTTTTGGATTGCTAGTTTGTCACAAATATGATGTTTATTTCTAAGGGATGTATCTATTTTTTGCTCAGTGATTCGGAACTAATAGTCCATGAATACTATCATCGGCATACATCAGATAATTAATTTTAACTTCCTTTTAGTAAAAGTATTATTTTTTTTCTAGAAACAAATACATTATTTAAACAAGAATCTGTTGGACGACAACAAAGGTGGATAAAAATTGGATTATTTAAAGATTTTGCACATGCATTCATGAAATCCAACGAAGAAATAGAACTCTTGAGCTTAAAGCTCATGCATAGTATTATATACCAATATATCATTGTTGCATAAATCCACAATTACCTCTGACTGGAGTGGTACTTTCTCCAACGGCTAACATATGTTTCATTTCTGAAACAAATATGGCTTATGAGATCCAAACTTAGTTCAGATCAATTTTAAGAACTCTATTTTTCTCAAAGATTGGGCGGATTTAACCTGAACTAAAATTGGTGAGGATTAAGTTAAATGTAGTCTAAATTTGAAGTCTCAGTTGCAAGATTTCAATCTATCTCAACTGATCATATTCAATTTCATATTGACATTTTAGAAAATAAAATATAATAATAATTTGATGATTTAATTCAACTTGGATAATTCTAAGGGAGTGACAATTAAGGTTTTTACTAAAAAGATAATTTTATACCTTATAAATTGGATAATTCTAATTTGTGTCCCTAAGATTACTTTTCAATTATGCCCTTAAGAGATTTAAAATATTTATTATATATCCTAATTAAAATTATAGTTTTACCGTTAAGAAATTAAAATTGTTTAACTCATGTTCTCATTTATAAAATTGATTAGTTTGATTTATTTTAATCAAATATTTTGATTGGACTTGATCATTAATGTATTTTGATTGCTTGACTAAATTTAGGTTCGATCAGTTATGTTTTGATCGAATTTGGGAAAAGTTAAATTTTGATTAATTTGTATTCTGATCAATTTTAATTTTGATGGGCCTATTGGGCAAATGATTAACCTAAATCTATGAGCTCAATTTGGGTAGCCCAATTTTTTATATGTCCAATTAAATATGATTAACTAGTATAAGGGTTTTATGTAAAAATAGAAGAATTATATATTATAATTTTTTTAATAGTTTTCTCATATGATATATTGATTAAAATTTTGTATGCGATAAATAGAAATTTAATTATTATTCTTAGAAATTTGTTTAGTTATTCACAGTATATATACATTTGGATAATGATTTGAATAGTAAAGATCAAAACATTTGGATAATGATTTGAGTGATATTGCTTATATTTTAAATATGCGAAAAAAATTAATTTATCTATGTCTTTATGAATCTTAGGGTTATGGCTGTTTATGTTCTAAAGATATATAAAAAAATCTAATTTCTTTATGTCTTTTAGATTTCCAGGGTTATAACTCCAATGTTCAAAATGGAGCTCTAAAAATTACTCGAGGTCATTATCCTAATGAAAGTAAGATGTATTAAAGGTTGTATTGTCTAGAAGGAAATATAATTAAAACCTTAAAAAGGACTATAAACATGTTGCAAATGTAGAAGTTGGTAGGTACCTAAGTAGAAATTTTTATTCATGGTGTTAAATATAATTGATGTTATTTATGATTTTTAAGATGCAAATTATTATGATAAAAAAATCCTACTAGTGTTAAAAGAGTGAAATGAGGGTCTCTCTCTAGAATCAAGTAGTGTTATTAATTTGTTTCCAACTACACAACATGAATTGGTGAGTTTATTATAATCAGGTGTTGGGCAATAAATTGATTTGGTTTGTGTAGATATGATTAATTCTTCAAGTCAATAGTTCAATTTCAGTCGGAGGTATAAAATGAGTAGATACTCATCAAAATAAAGATTGCTAGGATTAGTAAGTATTTTTTAAGTTGTAATTAGGTTTCAACTACTTGAGAGGAGTCCTAATTAAATTTAGACTTGTTGGCGGATTAGGATTTAGATTAAGAATTCAAGTAAGAAAAATCCTTAGAGAATTAAAATTTATTCATATCTAGAGAGAATTGAGAGAATAGTTCCTCCAATTTATGTGACAGTGTGTACAATGGGTTTCAAACTTAGGATTAGGTTAACTTGAGGAAGAATAATTTTTTATTTGAATTTTTTCATATAATAAAGAATTTAATTTTTTTCATGGACCTAGAGAGGGAGTTGTCGAATCATATTATATATCGGTTTTTTGGTATGTTCATTGTTTATTGGTCTCTGATTTTTTTTTTCAGTTTTTCTCTTCCTTTCAAGACTTTCATTTTATTCAAATTTTGATAATCAATTTAAAAAAATCTCAATTTCTCCTCTTGTTCTTTAAACGGTTAAAAGTTTGTTCTTTCTTTTTTTTTTTTGCTTGAGAAAAAAATAGTGATAATGACACCTTTTTTTCATTTACAGTAAGCAAACCAAAAAAAAAAGGAAGGCTAGAAAATTAATTAAGAGATGTATGTTAACAAATTCAAAAGGGACTACCAGAATTATGAACCTCAAAAAATTGATAAGGCCTCGAAAAGACAAAAGAAAATAGAAATATAAAAGATGAGAGCATCCATTAATGCATGCAATAAAGATTAATCTTCATTGTTCACCTGGCATTTTGGAGTATGTGCCAGCTGACAACTTGAGAAACTTAACTTCATTGTCAGACAGTACACCTGACCAAGAATTGGAGTTCAAATCCTGCATAAGAGAAGTTAATTTTTTTGATTTTTGGAAGTGGATGGTCTCTGGTCAGCTCTTGCACTCTTGCTGCACACCAAACAGTTCATGATTTCACTGGTGAAGTTTCTCCCTATAAATCCAAATGTTGAGCTCAATCATTTTCATAGGCTTCTCAAAAAAGAACATTTAACAATGAACAATTCAGAGATGCCTTGCTGATGCAAATCTGCATGAAGCATAGCCAACAAAAAATCATGAAATAGAGTAAGCTGAGTCTCCTTTGATTGTTGGTCTTAAGAATCATCCAAGTAAAAGGAAAGCTGAAGGTTTTCTATCATGCTACTGGAAGCATGTTGGCCCAGTTTACTTATGGCAAGTCACTGGTAGAGAGAGAGAGAGAGAGAGAGAGAGAGATGTGAGGCCAATTCACATCAAGGTAAGAGCAACTGGCAAACCAAAGGAAATGGAGACATAGTAACTAAAGCAATCCAATCCCTTCATTGGTATCTTTCCAGGACAGTCTTACACTTAGTTCTGCCACCTACGTAACAATCTATGCCATCAATCCACAGCAACAGAAGCAAATTCAAATTAGGGAATGTTGACTGGATTGCACTATTTGAATGTGAAGTGGAGCTTTTGTAGATTGTGATGATTGTTTTGACACTTTTCAGTTTTGCTGCTTATTAGAGTTAAGATCAGCAACATCAGGAGAACAACTGCACTATTGCAATCTATTACAGTCTCCATGGTTTGGCTTACATTGCCAGCCATCCAAGAATACCTCTTCTCTGGTGGAGAATAGGAGAGGAAATGCCTGCTCTGAAGCACTTCCTCACTATGGATGAGGACTGCACATGTGAACAGAAACAGGAAGTAGAGGAATTTAAACAGATCAAGGTAGCTACGGAATTAGAATCTGAATTCAACAAACCAAAGCCCTGTATGATTATTAGAGAAGATAAAGGTCTTCAGTCTGAGAGAAAATTATAGATAGAATATTTTGCCAAGGAAGTATTTGTCTGATTCAGAACCTCGAAGGCATGATGTTCCAGTCTGTCTGCTCATGATAACTTTGTTTTCTTTCTTCTGACAAACTAGTGAAGGCTTTTACTTTTTGGCTTTCTAACTTCCTGAGAAGTAGCCTTGAAATGATTACTGTAACCCTCGGTTTCCATCACAAGACCATTGATTTCTCATGTGCACCTTCACAAAGGGAAGACATGGTCATTCTCCAAAGCCTCAAGCCTTTTCCATTGAATTCTACTTACTGAAACCAAGTAAGATGAAGACGGTGGATTAGTGTTGGAAGTAATAGTTTGCTCGGGACAAAATTTAGTCCTCCCTGCCCTTACTATTTCACCTACTGATCATCGAAATCAATTGCGGGCTTCCCAAGTCACAATATCTTTTTATGCAATATCACCTCGTGATCGAATTGAGGAAACCACGGGGAAGGTGGATCGACATGAACACACAGCCAATCGATGCGCATCAGGGCAACCCTCCGTCACCTCCAAGTAGTCAAAATGGGGTGGTCGGTCAAGCTGGAACAGGACCAGCACCGGTCAAAATGACCTTTTTTCGACCCACCAAATCCCTCCTCGGCCGTCCGATCGTTTCCCGACCCGATCCGACGGTCCCGGAGATCAGCCATCATGCATCGCGACTACAAGCTTCAACATCCACGCATTCCGTCGTGTCCTTTGACCGCGACCGGTGGCATGAATTGACACTTTGAACCTTGACCATCCAATTCTAACACGTCACTCGTCAGGGTTGAATCAAAACTCAATTTTTTTAACATTATTTTAACACAAATAATAAAATATTTATTACATCATATAAATTAAAAATTAATGGACAAAGTTACTTTAATCATAGCACACATATATACATAATTATTTGAATAAATTAGTTATTATTTTCTTGCCCTTATGAGCATGTTCCTCGTTCCGCGGCCACGTAAGATGCAGTGTACGTGAACGCAATTGGTCATTCGTCTCCGTACAGGAAAATATAAAGAAGGATTTCTCGGTGCTCAACAGACAGCAAACTCGGTGTGGGGGGCGAAGCGGTTGAAGGCACGTGGCCATAAAGGCGAGGAGGGGCCAAGCCGTGACAAGGGGGCTCGGTCGCGGGTGACGTCGCAGGTGCATGCACGGGGCCGAGGCGAGGGGTGGAGCCCGCCGACACGAGGAGTGGGGATGGAAGCGTGACCTTATCCGGACTCGTCCACGGACAGTGCACGCGTCTCGCTCACTTGTCATCGCCGATTCCTCGCCTGCCGTCTTCCCTTCCCTCTTGTCTCTTTCCCTTTCGTTGCGCTCTCTCTCCATCCATGGCTTTAAATTCTGGCTATATCTGATATGAATGGACATGAAATTTATTATTATACGTTGGCTTATTTGCTGTGAGTTTGATTTAAATTATCAATAATTTAGATAGTCTCTTTAATATCAAATAGGTTAAGAGCTCTTAATGGTTTCACAGAAAGAAAAGCTAAAATTAATTATATGAAACTGTATAAAATGATTGCAAAATTTTGATTTATTAGTTTAAATTAATTACATTTTTCTTCGATAATATCAAATAGACATACACACACACACACTTTCTAGATGTTGTCAGGTCACTACTCAAGCATTATTAGCTTGAAAGCTACTAGTACCACCATGGTTTATCATATCATTATCTTGGAAATGAGACATGTTCTACGAATCTATCATGGCATAATACACGTTGTCACCTTAACAGGATTCAGGTGGGGAATGTGAACTTGGTGGAACCAAAATATTAGTTTCACAACTAGAAAGAGAACCTAATGGGGCTCATATGTGCTGTTTCAATCATTTTATTTTGATAGCTGCAGCTGTTTGGAATTATTGGAGAGGGAAAATCAAGTGCATTTGATGAACAAACATCAAAATTAACAAAGAGAACTTACTTTATTGATGGCTATAATATTGCCAGTTACTTTTTTAATCGTGTTATAATTGATAGCAGATAAGATTTCTCCAACTGTACGAGGAAATCTCGTTATTCTGTTGAAAGAAATCATCTCTCTTAACTTGTATAAATATGGAGAACATCTCAACGAGGAATATAGTTTCTTTTATAATTTTTATCTTTCTATCTTCTTCGTTTAATTCTTTATATGATATCAAAGCTATTTACCTAGAGTAAGCTCTCTTCTTGCTATCTGACTCCTCACCAACCTCGTAAGCGAAGATGCTCGATGTTGACGTTGCCACTTTACGCTGATGCCTCTAGCACCGCAAACATCGATGTTTTTTCTCTGACCGATGCATATGCAATTAGACGTAGCATTAAATTCTTTATATCGATATAACTAGTCATTATAGTTTATATAATTTTAGAAAAATAATGAATTATGTAGGAAAAATATTTTTTACTCACAATCTACTTTCTTTTTTTCTTTGACTCAAAAAATCGGTGTCTATCTTTTCCAAGAAAGAAAGAAAGCAGTCATATCTGAAGAGATGAAGCAAATAGAAGAAACAAAATCCGTATCTAAAGAAAGAAAGGAAGCAAAGACAAAGCCCTATCTTAATTTCTGGCCCTTCTTTTCTATAATTTTTTTTCTCTATCCTAAAAAAAGAAATCAAAGAGAAAAACATATAGAAAAGAAGGGAAGAGAAATAAATTCTCTCCCTCTATTGTTTAACATCATCTCACTTGTCAGAATAAAAAAAATAAAACTATAAATATTTGAGTCATAAAAACCAACACTGCATATTTTATGGATAGAAGTAGTAGAAAAAAGCAGGTAAAAGTCGCCTAAATGTTCCTGAATAAGCTATCTATCTGTACATTAAATTTGCTGGAAAAGTTAGGTAAACATAAAATGTCTTGAAATAGTGCAGTATATATATACATATATTGGAGGAAACGATCACTCGACACCTCCGCAGGGAACTTGCGATTAAGAATAGAAAAATATTATAGAGGGCAGTAGTGCAACATCTAATATATTTTATATTTCAGAGCAATCAATGGGAGTGTAGCATTCATAATTGAAGCTTATAATGCAGCGTAAGCCATGAAGCACTTCTGTTAAGCCTACTAAAATGACAGTGGCACTACACTTATAAAAGCCTCTAACGTTTTGTGTTTTACCACTAAGAAGTTGCTTTATCGACCTAAATCTCACCCACCTCTTTCACGTTTTGCATAATAAAATATAAATGTTCCAGAAAATATCAACGAGGACAGCATCACCGTCTCCTTTAGCTCAACGAAATAAAACAAAGAGAAAGCAGCAATACGTCCCTTTCCCGCACCGTCGATCAGATTAAATCGGCGAGTAAAGGAACGGTCCAGGCTTCGCCAGGACGCGACCCGCTCCACGTGACGACAACCCGTGACGGGTGACGACCTCACCTGTGACGTCACCGCCCCCGTCCTCCACGTTTTATTACGTCACAGGGCGAGAGAAATGATAACGATAAAAGAAAAATAAAGAAGAAATGGGATTTCTACCACGTGATAAAATTGGGAACCTTCAAGGAAGCACGAGGCCCCTTTCTTCGCTATATAGCCTTCGCACCTTCCTCTTCCTTTCTTTCACTTCCCAACCGGCTAAAATTCACCGCTCGCCTCTCATCCTTACCACCGGTCAACGCAAACACATCATGGACCAGTCACAAGAGCTCGCTCTCCTTGAGGCCGCCCGCCACCACCTACTCATGGACGCCGACGAGCCGAGACCGGATCCGAACGGGCCCTCCGTGGTGACGGCCTACCGCCGGAGCTCTAGCTTCGGGAGATTCGTCGCCGACGGGTGGTCCGACGGGCTCCCCTTCCGCCTCGACGACTCTGACGACATGGTCATCTACGGTGCCCTAAGCGACGCGTTCCACCATGGCTGGCTCCCCTCCGGCGCCAAGCCGGAGCCCGCCGCCGAGGAGGGGGAGCTGACCCCTAGGCTGCCGCCGCCGGCTGTCCAGGTATCTCAACAGCAGCAGCAGGTGGCGGCGGCGGCGTCGTTGAGGGCGGTGCCTGCCAAGGGAAAGCACTACCGGGGGGTGCGGCAGCGGCCGTGGGGGAAGTTCGCCGCGGAAATCAGAGATCCGGCGAGGAATGGGGCGAGGGTGTGGCTGGGCACGTTCGAGACGGCGGAGGACGCCGCCCTCGCCTACGACCGCGCCGCCTACCGGATGCGGGGCTCCCGGGCGCTGCTCAACTTCCCGCTCCGGATCGGCTCCGAGGAGGCCGCCCCGGCCGTGGCGTCGCCATCGAAGCGGGCTTCATCCGAGCCCAGCTCCTCCTCTTCCTCTTCCTCCATCTCCTCGTCTTCATACGGCACCTCCTCGTCCTCGTCGTCCTCCGAAAGGGCCTCGCCCAAGAGGCGGAAACGAGGGGAGGCCGAGGCAGCGGCCCCAGCGTCATCGGCGACTGGCCCGGTTCTTGGTCCGCTTCCCGTTCCGGTTCAGGCGCAGACCGGTCTGGGTTTCGGCAATAGACCGGAGATCTTCCCGGCCGGACCAGTCGCTCAGCTGCCACATGTAGGCCAGCTTTTGGTTAGCTGAAGGCACTACAGTAAGACAGTGGAGGCTGGTGCTCAAAACAAGAGATCTCACTGTTCCAAGAGAGAATGTGCGAGTCATTACTGAAAGCTTTAGGGTACTAGAAATGAGAGCATATGTAAAACGAAGTGTAAGAGAGAGAGAGAGAGAGAGAGAGAGCTGTTTGCTGTTGGAAAAAGGATAATAAAATCAGCTATGGAGTGTGATCTCTTGAATAATCAATCAGGGGTTAGGGATAAGTATTATGGTATGGTGAAGGGAGGGGTTTGTGGTGTGATTTGTGGATCAAAAAACTCTACTGTGTATAAAGAAATCTAAGCAATCAATAATTACCTTCATTCTTTCCTTATAATACTTTTTTTTTTCTGTAAGATGACACCAGAAGCATGTGATGGTTGACTTGGTCAGCAAGCCTACATATCGGATGAGGGTTGGTTGGACGAATGAGGTCACCCTACAAAGGAAGGACAAAAAGCTCAACCAAAGTGTCATCTTAAACATGTGATCGAAATGTCAGGTTCCATAAGACACGAGATGAAACAACTCAGATCCACAATGGTAACAAGAAAAGCTGATTTCACAAGCGGTAAATTATGCTTCTTGATGTGAATCCAAGTTGAAAGGGCAAGTTGATGCTCAGACCATTCATTATCTGATATCGTACCTCTCTCTCTCTCTCTCTTCGGTTTGTAATTAATGTGATGACAGCCCAACGTTTGACATTCGCATCTGGTCATGCCATCCTTTGTGGTGGCAAAGTCCCAGACTATTATGCTGAGTCTGCACACCCACAGACTCCTGCAATTTCCCAAACCTTATCGTAATCCTTTTAGATAGTTTTGCAAAAGCTTATCACGTACAACCTCCTTTCCATCACATCGGTTTCGCTAAAAATGGGATGGACCTCAATCGACCGAGAGAGAGAGAGAGAGAATGATTTCCACGTTCAATATATTCCTTTTGCACCCACCAAATTCTTGTTTCCCCCACACACAATTGTTTTTTGTGATGACTCCCTCCATCGAATTAGTTCATGTTAACCCACTTGCAGAAATGGCTTTTTTTTGGATTACATGGGTTTTCTATTCTCTAATCAAGATGGTTAGAGGAGCGCACAAGATCTAATCCACCGTGGCCCTCATCATCGTCCACCTTTACCCAAGTGAGATGGTCCCTTCGTCAATGCAGGAGACCAATCATCAGAAGCCATCGTTCCCACATCCTTATCCTAACCGGATCTAATGTTGCAACACGTGTGTCTACCACAGCTTGAGTGTGACCAGGTTCCATGTCTTGCAGACTCCCAATACGAATTTAATAGCACCAAGTGGCACATAGCTGTAGAGAATCAACACAAGCCATTGTTCTACGAGGCCACACCTGTTTCGACGATAAAGCTGAAGCTACTCATCGTATCCTCTTTCTCAAATTGCAACCATTTTAGCCAATAACTCAAATAAACATACCTGTTAGCCATGAGCTGGCCACCACACCGTGATAGAGAACAGCCACATCGAGAGAGATGATGGTGGAAGATGTGTGTGTAAAGAAAGAGGAGCTTGTGAAGTATTCTAAAAGTGGATGAGAAAAAGAAAGGTGTAGCAGTGAAATGGTGGACTGCTTTGCAAGTGGTTCAGTGAAAAGTAGGTTGTAATGGTGGCAAAGACGGGCAGCAGGCCCATCCCATCCCATCCGGTGCTGGTGGACATGAGATAAGAACAAAGTCACTACTACCTTCACAGCAACACCAACACCAACACCTATGAGATTCCAAGGCAAGTGATGGGGATGGGGGCCAAAAATACAGAGAAAAATGTACACGAGTGACATCTTTATCATATGTCAATTTGTGTGTGTTCCCAAACACTATAATGTACTCACAGAGACACAAACAGAAAGTCAACGATACTTGAGAAAAAAATATCTCCAAATGACACATGTTAACAAGATGGATCATGTTGGCATAGTAACCATAAATATAACATCATCCCAAATACTATTTTATGTGTCATCCAAACATTTAAATCATCCAGGTAAAAACAGATGCCAATATTACAAATTCAGATAAAGATACCCCAACATTCCACACGTTTACAGGACAGATACACATTTACACAATAACCATAGATATATTAGGTTTTAAGACTGAATGAAAGCTCATTTGAGATGCCAATGGTCCCGTTGCTTTCTCTCTACAACAAGACCACCTCTGGCACACGAGATAAAAAGAAAAAAACAATCTCAGCCAGTGGTTTTTCTTTGATCCACTAACATCCTCTAATGCTTCTTTAGACTTTACAAACAAGCATCAAAATTCTACATTTCAAACTCTATACTAAAATCTCCGGTGAGAGGGTTAATTAAATATTACCTTCTATATTTGACCATATTAGTATCGTGATCCCTATATTTTAAAAATTTATATTAAAATCTTTATAATTATGAAAGAAAATAAATAACTTTATTTGTTCTAACGTCGTCAACTGTATTGATGAAAAATACGACACGTGACATCACGTGCTATATCGAGTAAAAAGATAATTTCAATATATATTTCATTTTCGACATGTGAAATTAAAAATATCTTTTTATCGATAAAATCATTAAAAAAAATTAAAATTATTCTTTTATCCATTACATTCATGTCGATCTAACACATGATGTTATACGTTGTGTTCTTCGCCAATACAGTTGACAACGTAAGGATAAAAGAAGTTATTTATTTTATTTTTAGAATTATAGAGATCTTAATATAGATTTTTTAAATATAAAAATTATGATATTAATAAAATCCAAATATAAAAGATAATATATAATTAACCCCTGATGAGATATCTAGATGCATATTGTAATGTTGTGCCTTTTTGTGATTAAATAATGCATGAAATTTCAAGATCCACTTACCCAACATTATAGACCTTTGCAGTCTACTGACATACAAACACCTCAAACTGAAGTGCTAGGAAGCTTCCTCCAAAGACGAGGGTGGATTGCTGCAGCACGTCACAAGGCCTACAACAACATAGTCAGTCAACGGAACGTGAGCCCAACCAGCGGTCAGATCCAGAGCTACCAGGGTCAGCAAAAGCAAGGTGGGACCTACATATGTAGTATCACAGTTTACCTGCATCAGCTGGAAAAGTCAAAATCAACACAAAGGACCATTCTCTAAACCAAAAAGAAAGTAATCTGAGTTGTATGTCCCTTCATATGATATGATGCACAAGAGGTCCATTCGTGACCGGAAAGAAACTAGTTGACTCGTGTGTGCCTTGAATATGATTCACAAGAAAGAATGTAAAGACTTTACAATAATCCCTTTATATTGTTTTCTACCCCCACCATATTATATTATGGTAATCAAGGTTTCAGATTTGATCCCTTCTTCATCATCAGCTTGTCCTTGTTTCCCCCTCCTCCTCGTCTTCTCTTTCTCCTCTCTTGTTCTCGGTACTAACCAATATGTATGTTTATCGATAGACCAACTAGCAAATTGATTGGATCCGATATCAAATTTTGTAACATGGAGTAACAAGTAGGATAACATATTTGAGTTGCTAACTGAGTTTGAAGCCGGTGGAATTTAGCAACACAAGAACACCAATAATGCATATGTACAAAAGCCAATCCAAGCAAGAAAACATAATTAACAGAAGAACTGAAGTAGGAGATTATTATGATATGCTACAAGACTACAGGTGGTTAAATCTTGTTCTCTTCAGTCTTCGGGCCTACCCCTAAAAAGGTCACCAGAATCAGCATGCAGCTGATAAATATTATAAATGCCTGTCAAGCTTCTTTTGATTTTGCAAACAAGCATTAAACTATATATACTACCAAGTCAAAGTTATAGCTGAGATTCTCAAGTCTTTCTCATCACATTCAAGCAGATATCTTTTCTTTTCTCTCTTTTTTTACATTTCATCTTGTGCCCTTTTTGTAGTCAAATGAGAACTAAAGGTAGGGCCTGCCCATATAGAATATTGTAGGACACCTGCATGAACACGAAAGAGCATTGTCAAAGTAAAACAAGGGTGGGTTCAATTCTCTCATCCGTGAAGAGGTTAAGCTAATTATGATGCACAAGGAAGCTTGTCTTCCTGACTGGAAAGAAATTGATTCACTTGTCTGTACTAGGAATATGATTTCCAAGAAGGCATGTACATATTTGACAATAGAAGACAAAAAAAAAAAAAAAAAGACTCTTACATGCATTTCTTGTCATCCCATCATATTCTATTGAATTAGCAAGTATGACAATGGATTTGAGTTGCTAAATGAGTTGATCCTAGGAATATTTAACGACGTAAGCTCACCAGCAACAGAGTGCAGCCCCAGACAAGAAAGCTCACTATTTGTTTCCAAGATGTTGTAAGCTGCTAGGCTCAAAAACCAAAGGCAGATGATACTGTGCAGTACAAATCTACTCTTCCATTTTTGTTTCTTTCCAATTTTCTGTAAGTCAAGATGTAGTATGTCATAGGCTGTTTTAGTTGATTGATGAAGCATAATCATACGGATGAGTAAAAGCCATTTCAATTGGCTGATGGAATATAATCAAAGATATCAGGGAACGAAAAGTTGAATCAAGGGGGGGAAAAGAAAGCTTTTTCATCAAATGAAGATAAAGGGTAAAATAAAAAGTGTATCACCACTCATCTTGAACAACAAACAAAGTACTATCTTGTTAATGGACACAGATCCATCCAAGGTCAAAATACCACCATATCAAGCAATATGGGGCTATGTTACTGGACACAGACAAAGGGTTTTGAATAATGCTCAACAGTCGAGAAAGAAAAACTAGTTGCTTCATCATGTCAGCTGTTGACGGATGAGACAATTGACCCGCAACCATCGCAAACAAACATAGATAGCAATAGTATTTTTTTCGATTGTTGTTAATCATAATACAATTTTTAACCATCTAAAACTAATATCACTATAACAACTACAACAACAAAACCATATACTCCCAACTATTTGGAGCCGACTATGTGAATCTTTTATCACCATTCAGTTCTATAAAAAAATTTATATTCTTATCTAAATTAAGAGTGCTTAAATTTTTACTTATACTTTCTAATAAAGTTGTTTATGTCTCTCAACCTCTCCTCGTACCACTAATATTAACATAATCATGTAATTAGTATATAGGATTCCTTTGTATATAGTCATACCATATTAAATAATGCCTTCTGATCTTATCCTTTATCGAATCTACATCTGATTATTCACGAATAAATATTATTTTTTTCTATCTTTCCTTATAAGACTACTCATCCATCTTAGCATTCTCATATCAATGACACAAACTTTGTTTATTAACCATCAAACATTAAGATCCATAAAGCATAATTGGTCTAACAATGGTTTCATATAATTTTTCTTTTAATCTAAGAGACACTTGGTGTTCACACAAAACTCTTTGATGCCACTCTCCATTTCAAGAGTCTAATTTTTACTCTGTGAATAATATCTTCATATCTCTATTTTATTCAATAAGTGATCCAAAATATTAAAAACTTTTACTTAATGAAACTTCTTGTATAAACCACTTAACTATATCCTCATGTCTACTCTTAGTATTATTAAAATTACATCTCATATATTTATACTTAGTTCTATTTAATTTAAAACCTTTGTTTTTCAAGATGCCTTTATAACTCAAGTTTAGAATTGACTTCATTTAAGCTCTCATCAAGCAAATTAATATCATTTCAAATAAAATGCACACAAAAGATTTTTCTGGGATATAAATGGTAACTTCGTTCATTACTAATGTGCAAAGATAAATATTTAATGTGGATCCTTAGTATACTCATGTACTAATAGGAAATTCAATAAACATACTCCCTATAATCCACATAGTTCTAATATATATATATATATATATATATATCAGAAGCCTTCCCTAAATCAATATCAACCACATACAAATCTTTCTTCCTCTCTATACTTTTTCATTAATTATCCCAATAAATAGATAACTTCCATCGATGATCTTTTAAACATAAAACCAAATTGATTCACGTCATATTCGACTTTCAATCACTATTTTCTAAAGTCTCATAGTGTGGCTCATAATCTTAATCTATAATTAGAAATGTTTAAGACATCACTCTTATCCTTATTTGGTACTAGAAAACTTTCCTGCCCTTAGGTATTTTTCTAGATCTTAGGATTTTGTTAAAAGAAGAAATCAACCAAACTATTCCTCAATCTCCGAAGCTCTTCCAAACCTCAATAGGCATAACATCAATCTCACACTCTTATCTACTTCCATCTTTTTTTGTGTTTCCTTAAGCTCACTTGCTCTAATTTTATGAACAAATATATAAGTATTAAATCTACTATATTTAGGACTAAGTTATTTGTGAAATGTTCTTTAAATCATTCATAAAAATAATTTCTTTACAAACTATAAAAGTAATTTCTTTCCTAAGATGTTGACAACCATAGGGTATATTTGTTTTAAGCAATATATAGTGGTATAAGATATCAAATGCTTAAAAGAGTTACTTGATATAAATAAAATCCATAATAAATGCATAAGAAACTATTCAACACTTAGAACACATATCTTGTAATAAAAAAGCAAGCTATAAAAGTACCTCAACTTTCCAGAGAAATATTGTTAGCGTAAATGTATATGGGGGAGACAAAAGGAGAAAATACATTACTGGAAGAAAAAAAGAAACATTTTCTTCTTTAATTTGAAAGAATAAACCAAATTGGTATCTACCTCATTAGTCCAGGGAGAAAAGGTTAAGACAAAAATGTACCCCTTTTACTGCGAACGTCACAAGTCACAACAAAATTAAGCTCGAAGACCTACCGATGATCGAATAAGTCTAATCAACACTTTCATCGTCGATAATCTTTCATTTACATAGTCATGTTGTTGTTATTTTGCCACATCCAAAACCTTTACCGTGCATGTGAACCTAATCTCTCCGATCAATACGCCCAAATAAAGACACTTGATGATGATTAATATATATAATAAACAAAATGCGCAAATCATGAAAAAGTTAAGCTCTAAGACCAAAAAGACGTAATTTAATAAGTCTGCAATTTAATCAACATCTTCACTGCAAATACTTGACCAAATCGAAAACCCACACTGTAAATGTTATGGGCATCCATTAAAGCATAATAAAAGAGGGGAAACCATCAATGGACATTGTCACGGCGGAATTAGTGTTTCAGGAACTAAAACAACAAAATATCCCCAACAGCTACCGCTTTTACATGAACCAACACCTCATCAAGACAGCACAATGATTAGCACGAGAACATGGGAAGCAATCACAACCAACCTAGATAGAGCGAAAAAGAACCATGATCTTGGCGAAGCCGGACGGAATTTTATAGGAATCGGAGGAGGAATCGATGAGATCTGATCGTTCCCCACTGCCCTCAGATGAGGGTTTCAGATCCTCTCCCTCTCGCGACTGCTAAGTCGTAAGATGAAGCGCTTCATCGCCCAATGTTAAAGCCGATCTCTAAGTTGGGCTGTTTATATATACTCGTCGAGTGTCTTATAAGTAGTTTAATATAATGAAAAGAATATGCCCAAGAGATCAAATCGGCGTTGGTGTCAATAATATATTATGTCTCACGTCAAAAAATCGAAGTTGATAATTACATAAACGATGTCATTCTTACAAATAATAATAATAATAATAATAATAATAATAATAATAATAATAATAATAATAATAATAATAATAAAGAGAAGAATGATACTCAAATGAAGAAAAAAGTCATAATTATAATTTTAAATAAAGATAATTATAACGAAAAAGAATTACCACGAAAATTCTAAATCTAGAAGAGGGTGCTTTGTTCGATTACCCTAATCTGCAAGTTTTGAATGTGATCACAATAAGCTTTATTCTACTGATAGAACAGTTCAAAAATATATAAACTGAAATAAACATAATTGATTGTACTACGAATGTTGACTGTTTTAACATTTATTATAAAGAACATTATCTGATTCATAAGAATTCAAGCAGCTAAGAAAAAGAATCATTACCATGTTACTGACATAGTTGCCCTCAAACACACTCTTTCATAGGTTGCCTCAGAATTGAACCAGCAGTTCATACAGGAAAAGAGAAATGAGTGGCAAAGGAAACAAAAACAATAGCAATGGAAAATCTGTGACCACACGGATGCAATTTTCATGAAATAATAGTAAAGACAGCCAATTTATATAGGAAAATTATTGTGAATTGCCACTTCTGTTACAATAAGTGATCAGAAAATTTCTCTGAATACCTGACCTCAAAGAAGTAACTGCTGCCAGAAGCTTGTAACATCATGTGTGCAATTCGAGACAGTAATTCTCAAATCTCTGAAATTAATTTCCTAAAAACCTGCAACCATTGGTTAATCTGCTGCGATGAAGGGATCAACTTCCCCAAGTTCAGCAGTTAGTGGTTCCAGTTCTGATGTATCTTCACCTTCAGGGATAAAGTGGGTCGGAAATGGTAGTAGAGATATGTTTGGCTTCTTGTATACAGCATCTTTGATAAAAACAAAGTTTCCTTCAGCCCCCGGTACCTGCAGCATCCAGTAGGTGACAAAACCATGGCAAGATGAATTTGCAAAGCATGTACGTAATTTAGCATTCATATATAATGAAAGGTGAAATGCTGATCAGCTTACCTGACCCTTCACCCACATCAAGTTTCTGACAGGGTCTATTTTGTATATCCATACATTCTTTACCGTGCACTGCTTTCCACCCATTCGTCCAGGCATTTTCTTTCCTTTAAAGACCTATTTAACAATCATGATATAAGACCATATTTTATACATGTGTGTGTATATATACACATACACTGGAAATAGAGATGAATTGAACAAAACATTACCTTTTGCAAAATCCAGACATTAATTAATTAGTGATGGATAAATGATGGTATACAAGAAACAAGTAGCTGAAGTGGATAGTCATCGCTTATAAGAGATGGAACAGCATGAGTATTGGCAGGGTCAGATGCTGAATTACATCTGTAGAAAAGGACTGCTTCTATGGCTCAAACTTATGTTGTCACTCAAAAGAAAAGGAGTAAACAAGTATCAGGGGTTGTCACTAAGATATCGAAGCACCAGGTAATGCCCATATGAGCATCAATACTATTAACACCACATTTTTCTATTATGTATGCAGTAACATTTACCAAGATGTCTTTTAGATTAGTCTAGAAGCTGGCGAGGGAAGGTTCAAAATTTCAGAATTACATCCTGTATAGCAACCTATAGAGATGGATTTAACTTCCAGTTATATGTTAAAGGATCAAGTTTCAGCTTTAGAGGCCAAGGACAGACAATGTCACATGCAAAATGGAGCTCGAACTAATAGACTAGCCAAGCCCCAAGAGAACTACAATAATCTTGTCATCTTCTCAATCATTTTGAAGCAAACAGCTTGTTTTAAATGCATTTTTTCCAACAAGTTGTCGGATCAATACAGTATTATTACACCGAGATATATACCACTCTGTTTCTATCAGTATTACTGAAAGTTTCATAAAAAATAAAGGTAAACAGTGTCTACCACATGGTATTGAGCTCTGTATTTCAATACTTGGTTGGACCAGTACTATACAGATCAGTCAAGACATACCCAATCTTAACTGTCTCCTAAACCATGGAATATACTAGATCAACTTTAAATAATAACAACTCAATAATTGCCAGATTTCCTAACAGCAGTCGAGCAAACGAGAGAGCAACTCCCATGCAACTGTGCTTCCCAGAAGATGCACATATACAATAGTACTTAGCTACAAGATATAAGTGCATGTGTATGCATGCTGCTCTTAAAGAAATATAAAAAATCCCAGAAAATGTTTGGAGCACAAAAATTGAAGTCTTTGACAACCTAAAGAAAAGAATTCTATAACTAAAGCCGAAAGCAATTGTCTTTCAACATTGAACATCCAAGGGGCCTAGAACTCTGATTCATCAACTATGAATGTCTTAGATCCTCAACCATCACGGTGCATCAATACACCGACCAACCCCTTATGGTCATATCACAGCGAGGTTTCTTTTTCTGTTTTCATGCACTGCTTTCTAAAATTTTGTTGGCCAGCCCAAGTAGATCCCAACAGAGCCAAATCATGGTATCTCTATCTTCCACATTTTCCTATGTTGTGCAAAGGTGCCGAAAACCGGATCATCCCTGAAGCAGATAAGGGCCTTTCAGTTGGGTTCTCTTTCTATTATTTTTGGACATTTTTAATCCTTTTAGACCAACTATAGAGACATACATTGAGTTGTTTTCTCATCTATGGATCCTACTTTAGTAATATATAGGGTACGAAAATTCTCTAAGCCTTTAGAGGGTTTTTTTTGTGTATTTAGGGAGCATCTTATGCAATTCTGAGATTCTGAATAAACAGACTCTTCTCCCATAAAATATTTTAGTATGCTGTATATATAGCATATTATAAGTCCTGGAGGCTGTCTTAGTATTGATTATTTCATTATTCATAATATATTTTTCATAGTTTAGTTATAAATTCTATAATTCCTCCCCTCTTTCATCCTTGGGAAGCCAATTTTCCTTACTCGAATTGAGGAATACCCTGACAGAAGAATCATCTCGTATCAGCTAGTCTTTTCAACAGAGCATATACTAATAATAGAATCTATCCTATCTTGAATTGGCAATTGCTTTTTCATATCTTGACAATACTAGGTATCAGGAAAATGCTAATATGACAGGTATAAGACCAAAAGCAAACATGGAAGTATCACATCATTGTTAGTCATAAGATCATCCTACCAAACCGCTGCAGCAGTTATAGTGCAAGGGTTAATATGACTCGACTTTCTTCAAAAGAAGTTTGACGCTTATCCCATGTATACCAATATCTCACAAACAGTTGATGATGATGTTTTTCAAACTACTATCATAAGTGTTCTAGTAAATAAGTACCGTAATCCAAATCATCTATGGCATGCCACATGGATCCTTTACCAAAATTTAGGACTATTATGGTAACAACTAACAACCTTCCTAGATCATCCTCTGCCCTGACATGATGTACCCCAAAGGTTAGGTCTAGATTGAGTTAAAGACAATTGTTCCATTTTCTACTATTTTCAGAGTGATTTTCTACTAAATTTTGGTATATATGCAGGTGCATTTAATATGGACTGGTTTAGCTTGGTTCAGGTCTTTGTTGATTTCAGTTATATTTAGTTTGGTTCAAGTCTCATAAGGCCAAAGTGAAACTAGGCCTATACTTTGTGAACTTTATTTTTATTTTTTTGTATCTTGAGTTACCATATTAAGAGACCTATTATAGAAAGCTGTCAGCCAATTGTATCTTTATCTGGAGACATCAGCTGGAAAAAGGAAGGCTACAACAAGCGACTTTCAGAGTCCTTATTTATCATGTTATGTATATATACACACACATATAATGGCAACTACAAGTGTCCTGTTAGGTCAAGGCTATATGGAGAATCATGTGACAAAAACACAACTCTTTTCTGGAGAAGTAACCTGCCACAAAAACAAACAGATAATTTGCAGCAGAACACTCTAGAAAATACCAGAATTTTCAGAATTATGTGATTATATCAGAGAAGAACAAGAAGGGAAAACTGCAAGGTATTGGACAAGCTATGAAGATACGATAAATCCATTTCTTCGTCATAGAGTCCTTCAGTTATTTCTTATGCTAGGTAGCTATACATTGAGGTGGAATTTAGTCTTCTATTTGTTATTTTAAGATGAATGACTTCATGACAAACATACAGTTCCTTAAGGCTGTGTAGCTCTGATTATCTTTTTCCTGCCTCGAGTGTTCAGCTTGTAATCCCCTTATTAACACAGTTCCCTACATTGTTGGTTTACAAATACCATGTCATCTCTAACTTGTACCGACATATATTCTTTAAATGCATTTAGTCATCTTCTTTGGGCCCCACCCTCATCTATCATTATAACCTATTGTATACCTGTATAGCACAGGCATCACCCACAGAATATGTCATCACTGACTAGTAAAAATTCAAGAAACGTAACATCTGATCTGAAAAATCATATGCTTATAGGGCGTTGTTTTTGAACTCATAGACACCTTTTATAAAGCTTTTTTTCTGAAAAAAGAAAAAGACACCTTTTGTAAACACATACCTATTGGCATAATTACTTCTAGTATGATGTGCTTGAGAATGCACAAGATGATTAGAGTTGAAATATTGGATGCCAAATAGGTGTTATCCTATTTGAGTTTTGTAAGAGCTTCACATCAGAATATTTGCCAGTTAGACAGATGCCATGACACAGCAGAGAAACAATAATAAAAAAAAGGTTAATAGCAGATATGCACATGATCCTTCACATCTTATTTAAGTATTAACGCAAGTTGCAGTCACATGGAGACATCTCTATAATATATGCATACCTTTCCAGGAGCATCCCTTTGACCAGTAGAACCAATGCTTCGATGTGATAATGATGCACCATGTGATGCAGGCATTCCACTAAAACCCCACCTTTTCATCCCACCCTATTGATAATAAAAATAACCAAAAAATTAGCTAACGAGATAAACACTGAAAGAGACATACTATGTAACAGGTTCCAACAAAAGCATTACGGTAAAAGTGAGAGCACAACATCAAAGTGCATTAGTAGCTTTCAATGGTCCTATGATCTTTACCAAGAAATGAATGCAACTTACAATAAGATTTTATTTAAGAATACATTCTCCATTTCTTCCCTCGAAATTTCATTGAAAACAGAAAAAGGAGGTATATCTATTAAGCTAAATGATTTTTTCTTAAAGACACCCAACTAGGAGATGTTACCTAGCATAACTCATAACTATAGAAAAGCAATATTTAAGATAAAGTTGATAAATTAACTAAAAGACCAAATCCATACAAATGAAATGTTTCGAATGCATATTGCAAACTGAAACTGAGAAAAGAATGCTTCATCCTTGTGATATCCACATACCTCCCAGCATAGACAAAGGCACATTATTATATTACATTTTATCCCAATGTCATTGTTATACAGTTGCATGACATATTTTTTTATTTTACATTCTATACCAATGTCATTTTTATACAGTTGCATCACATATTGTTAAATGTTAAGAAAATGTATGAGATAGAGAAAATTGATAAAATAATATATTAAATTAATGCTAGAGGGATTCCATACCAAATGTATGCTCACCAAATACATAAGGGACATGAGATATCAAACCATATCTATCCATATATGAATACTTTGGTATGAACTAAGTTCTAATCTAATCTATTCATCAAGGTACATGCTCAAATTCATAATATTGTGTAACTTATTCTTAAACATTTAATCCAGTAATTCATCCATATTCTCAACAATATAATATGTGCCTAAAACATCCTACGCATTCTCAGATTGTGGCATTACCACATTGTTCCCAAGTCAATAATTAGAAAATTAGCAGTACAAAATCACAATCAATTTTTTGGAACTGGTTGCACCAAAAACCTAAAACACAGCTGGTTTAAATTTTTCAATACCTCGAGTGGAAGTGAAATAGAAGAGAGAAATAGAGAAAAATAAACAAGAAAACATGAAGGATGAAGCAGCAGAAAGAAGAGGAGTTTATTTCTTGAAAATAAAATTATGGAAACCAAGACAGTACCTCTTAGAACAGTAAAGAATGTAGCTATCAACTTGTCTATGACCTATTAATGTTAATCAAGCAATATGGAATTAAAAAACAAGCAGCCAAACAATAGCTTCTTATTGATTGCAAACTTATGCTCTGGCTCAGAAAGTTTCAACTTTGCTCATGTTACAAAAAGATTGGAAGCTGTGGTAAAAGAAAGGAGTACTCAAGCTTTCTCACTAACTTTAGCAGCGACAAGTTTAAATTTGTTTCTTATCATATTATTTTAGTATGTATTTTTGTCATTACTTTTAGTTGATATTTAGGCAGTCTTCAATCCAATTTTAAGTATATCTGGTGTGTAAAAGATATATAATTATAGGACATATTAAGCAAGTTGTTTATCTATTAGGAGCCATATTTAGAGAGTTATAGAAGCTCTTTTGGTGAGTGTCTGAGAGACGAAATTGCCAAAAAAGAATTTAGTTAGTCCCTCTTAGTAGGCCATATAAGTGGTTTGTAAGCGTTTGATGCATGATTGAGACAGAGTATTTTCCTTATGTAATAAAATATTCAGATTACTTAGATCTCCCATTTTATCTTCTTAGTAGGTCTAACCTGACAAGAAAATTGTATATCATTTTTGTATCACAGTGAGGCGAACTACCATGACCATGCAATGTTCTTCAATAACAAGTCTATGGCAGAGGCAACCAGAATTGATGTCATTGTTGGCAAGACAGAGTTCTGGGAGAAGCTATTGCAACATGTTTCATGTTTGCAGCTTAGAGAATTCAAGTTCCTACTTGTAGTTGCGATCAAAGAAAACTACAGCAACACCACAAGATGCTTCACCAGCATCCTTGACACCAATTGTGTTATCTCCTCCATACAAGTGGTTTCTGGAAGCTCTAACAACCCACATATAAATCTGGAATAATCTCAACAACGAATTAAAATTTTTAGTTTCTTGAAATCTATTACGACAATTTAAGAATAGTAGAAAATCAAATTAGTTAGCATTTCACAGACAAATCTAACAGCTGAAAAGTATTTTCATCATGTCAACCACTCAATGAAGCTTTAATATCTCAAATTTTGGCTTGAGTCAATGCTAACACTAGCAACGGCTTTCTACATCTATAGAGAGAAATCTATGATGTCATTTATATCAACCATGATCATGTAAAGAAGAAAAGTGTTTTGGGTAAGGAATGTAATCTAGCAATATGTTTTTTAACCACCACACCATGGTAAATTTTGGAAAATCAACAAGTGATTAAAACTTTGACAACCAACTACTAGTCAAGTCAGGAAAGAGATGACTAATTAAGCTCTCACACAAACTTCTAAAGGTAATAGGTTTGTCTTTTAGTGTCTATTAGTTGCAAATGTATTTCCATAGTGATAGCATCAGGTTGCACACAAATTCACTAGAATTTGATGAGTTATGACTAAGGTTCTAAATTTCGAATGATACCACCCATACCGAGTGGTACATACCGGTCCATCAATAGACCGGTACACGAACCGTCCGCTACTGGGTGGAACGCTTGATATAGCCCCGTATCGGACATACGGGGTTGTATTGGGCGATAACAGTCGAAATTTCGACCGTTACCACCCGTCACAAGTCGATAACGGTCAATTTCGACTGTTACAAGTTGGTAACGAACGATTTCGACCGTTACCAACCTGTAACAGTGTTTCAACGATTAAATTGATCGTTGGAGCCCTTTCTCATGAGTTTTTAAATTCATCCTCCCCCATAACAATTCAAATAATTTTTCTGTAGATATTTCAATATTTACAAAAGGACGATCCGTAATGGACCGAAATACGAACATTGCATAAGGTTATTCCTCAAAGCCTGAAAAACATATGTGACACTATTCTTACCTAATTTACATTGATTTTGCTAAACTTATACTAAATGTATATTTATTTCTAACTTAAAAACTCTATCTTAACTTTTTTTCTATTTTTGGAGGATTTTATGTCGAAATTAGGCATACTGCTCGATACACCTAGATGTATCGCTCGATACGCCGTACTGTACCGTACTGAGCAAAGCTCAATATACCAGTACGATATGAAATTTTAACCTTGGTTATGACTACCTACCTTCCTACTTGAACTCATCCCAAACCCAATAAAAAGGTGCTCAAGCCCAGATTACGTGAGTCAGTTGGACCATGGTATCAAACCAAAAATGACATACTACCATCCCTAGCTCACATTAGCAGGATACCTGCTATCTGAGCTCAACCAACTACCTAATTACCCAAACCCAACTGGGCTATCTATTTCTCAACCAAAAATTGTCTCAAACACAATTAAATGGTACCTAGACTAGGTTTAAGCAGGTAATACTCTGTTACCTAAAAAACATGATCTGCAATCATCCCTAATTTCCATCAGTACTTTTAGTTGAGATTTTAGGGAATATCTAGAGTCCAACTTTGAGTCTATTTAATGTCTAAGATTTGATAAGTTAAGCAAGTTGTTTAGCTATTAAATGTATTTGGAAGCTTGGTTTTCGGAGAGTGACAAGATTACTGGCAAAAGATAGCTTTCTCCATCAACACCTCTTAACAGGATATATGTAGTCTCTTGGTAGCCTAAATACATAAATAGTTATAAGCCCCTGAGGCATGGCCATGAGACTGATTATTTTATACAAAAAATGTTTTAAGTTATTTAGAACCCTCCTCTCTTGTTCAGCCTCAGGAGGCCTATTCTCCTTGTATCAGAAAACACCTTAAAAAGCAGGTCTTATACTATCCACTTAGACTTCTTCTAGAGAAACTTAAGAGGAACCTGAACAATGGAGGTAAGAAGAACAACTAAAACAAAGCCAATCTTAAAGGAGATTTATTGATCAAAAGTTTTGGATAATTAGCACAATTTTTTTTGGCAATTTTTGCATGTTCAATAAGATATCAGGTGGGTTTCAAAATGAGGATGCAAAAATGACACACAAATAAACTTTAATCACAACAGCTATTATAAGTTGTGTACAATATTTGGATAAATAATGTGAGGAGATGAAGACAATGCACATACAGCATAGTAAAACTTGCATCTCCACTCCTAACACAATATATTATGAAGGAAACAAAATAACTGTTAACTGGATTTCTTTTTCTTCTTTACAATCTCACATACCAAAGAAATACTTTGGCAATTTTTTACAACACCTTTTGTTTTCCAACATTTTTTAGCGCTTCTTCCATCTTCCAATCCCTTGTTAACTTGAAACTTCTTACTAGAACGAACGTAGGTCATCATGCCATTATTTTCCTTAACTATGAAAAACAATTGAATTACGATAATAATATTAAAAGGTTTCATAAAGCATAGAGCGGCTTATGTTACGTTTTGCTAGAAAATCTTCCATCGAGGAATTACATGTGTGTTAAAAATTCATCAATCTCATTTCCTATATATGTTTCCTAAAATATTTTTCTATGCACACTACAAAAGGTTTGCCCCTTCCACGCAAATGTACCAGTAATCATCCCACATGGGTTACTCTGAGGCCTACTTTAGCCTTATCAAAGTTTCACAAAGCCCACATCCATTATATCAGGGTTCTCAATTTCGATGTGTACCGCCCATACCGGTCCGAGAGGATACCTATACGCGAACCGTCCTCTACCGGACAATACCAGTATTTTGACCGGTACCGCCTCAGATTTCGACAATTACCAAAGCATACCGATCGGTACGCCCTGACGTGATAGGTAAAAGTATATTTAAGGCTTTATGGTGTACTATCGGTACGCCCTAGCGTACCGACGGTATATACCGTATCGAGCAAAGCTCGGTACGCCGATACGGACTGGTATTCAAAACCTTGCATTATATCAAACATCATATGTGTAACAAAAATTTCATCATAATACCATTTTCTAGTCATAACTGGTGGGGTGGGGAAAGCTTTTCAGCCACATCAGTGGTTGGGTGGCCATGGAAAGAGCATTTGAAGTGGTCTATAACAAAATTGTGTTCAACTAGGTGTTTCACAAAATTGGTGGAAAATGCATATCACAGTTTCATATGTGGAGCCTGTAAAAAGACTGAATAATTTATGAACTGAGAAACTCTTAATCAGAAAAAGTTTTCTTTTTAAGAAAATATGATAGTCAGACATTGAAAAGTACCGCAAGTATTTAAGACAAACTCATATTTGGCTATTTCTATGGTGTGAAAATAGTAATTTGGGTTACCATATGCTAAGATTAGTGATTCTAGGTATGTCATCATGAAACAATTAAGTACGTACATGGAAGAAAATAAAATAGTAGAGAGAGGATCAATTCCATAGGCCGATCTTTTTAAACAAGATAGATCATATGACTGTAGCAGAAGACAAGCATCCGATACCTGAAAACCTTTACCGCGTGTAATGCCCGTGACATCAACATATTGTCCAGGAATAAAATGCCGGACTGTGATCTGTGTACCTACTGGAAGAAGTGCATCTTCTGTCACTGGGAACTCCTTCAGCTTCCTCTTCAGAGGAACCCCTTGAGCTCTGAAGTGTCCCACTTCTGGCTTTGTCAAATGCTTCTCCTTCTTCTGTCCAGCTCCGACCTAATTATCATCAAAGCAAGTATAGTTCAAAATTCATGCTAGAAGTAAAGAATACTATTCTATTGTTATGAATTACGCATATTTAATTACCCCAAATGTTAGAAAAGAAAAGAACTTAATGGTAACGTTGAAGCGAAAAGCCTCAGATACTCTAACAGAGAGTAAAGCCCAAGATCCAATATTTTTGTCTGATCAACACACCTGTAGAGAAAAAATCCCCTCTTTTTCGACAGTCTTCACCTGGGAAACGATGTTATCGTCCATCCAAAGCACAGTGATCGGAATCCTCGCGCCCCACTTGTCCCATAGCGCCGTCATCCCGCACTTGACGCCGATTGCCCCTGTCCTTCTCGAGCTGGGTGTCATAACCCCAGGCTTGGCCTCGATAACCCGACCGCTGGCCTCGATCTCGCTATCTCCAACGACTGGCAGCGCGCAGAAGCTTCGCTGGTGGGGTGCCTCGAGCCTACAGCTGAAGGAGAGGAGACGGAGGCGAGAGAGGGTGCCTCTGGAGGCGGCCGACATACCGACCGAGGGACGATATCTTAGGGTTAGCGCAGAGGAATGTAGCGGGGAGAAGCGAACAATGGGTATGATGGTGGCGGCGGCGGCGGGCGGGTGGGCGGGCGGGCAGTCGGGTGGAGACGTATAGGGTTTAGATAGTTGCCAGTTTCTCACGAAGGTTTAGCAAATCGCTGCGTCGAAAGTGTGAACAGTTTCGTAAATAACATTAAATTAAATTACATTATTGTACATTAATTATTTCAAATCTTCCACCAAATTAACTATATATATATATATATATATATTAATTACCAATACTACGATTGTATTTAAATTTCAACTTACATGTTGTGGAATTGAGTATTATCGTCAATCCAAACAAATATATATTGCGCATATTGTGGAAACATCAAAGATAACCTTTAATAAAATGTCGATGTTCTGATGGATTGGTAAGGATGGAAAAATAGATTTTTAACATACTCCCTATCCTTTTAAACTCATATTTGAAATTACAACGAAAATGACTTCCCATAAATTAAGTAGATTTTTAACATACAATTCTTAAATATAAGGTTGAAATTGTCCAAATTGACTATTGTGTGTCAAACTTATTTGGATATGTTTTAAGCAAAAATAAATAAAAAAACCTTATAATATTCATGATCAGAGGAATGATGATAAAAAAAGAATGAGATATTATCCTGATATAATATTTTCATAGGATTTTTTTATTCAGTAATAAAAAATAATATAACTCTATCAAAAATATTAGAAAGAAAAAAATAATATTGGACTACTAATTTAATCCAAATTGGATTTCCATGCAGCATCTTCTTCTGCTCTTTTGATCTTTTTATAAAAGGATGAGACTCTTTTTTTTTTGTGTAATATGGAAATAAGGAGTGTGATAAATAAAAAAAGCCCAAATTCTAAGGCTTTTCCCATCAAAATTTCCATAATTATAAATTATTTTCAAAAAACGATATAGCGATCATTGGATGGTCAATACATTTAAATCAGAATGAGGTAATTTAAACTATTTCCAAGAACATTTACAGTTGATCGAAACTTCACTAATTTAATAATAATAATAGTTTTATTAGTGTTATTATTCAAAATATTTTAATATAATAATAATAATAATAATTTTTTGATTTTTAATTATTAATTTAATAATGGGATCGAAACTTCGTTATTATTGTTAATAATATTTTAATAATAATAATAACTTTATTATTGTTATTATTCTTAGTAATTGGGCGACACCGCAGCCAATCCGTCCTTCCCACCACACAAACCAACGCACGAGAACCAGAAGCCTCTCCGCCACATGGTTAAAGGTCACCGAGAAGCCGTCACTCCAAATGGAGCAGAACCACCGCCGTCCTCCACCACTGCTTCTCACCCGCCATGGCGGTGGCCGCCTCCGCGAACCACCACCTCCTCCTTCTGCGGCTCCATCCTCGCCGTGTCCCGAGCCCCAGGACTCCCCTCCTTCGTCGGAACCTTATTCCCGCCCTCTCCACCGCCTCCCGCCGCGACCTCGCTCCGGGAATCCGGTCGTCCTTCGCGGCCGCTGACGAGGCCTCGCCCAATAGCCCGCCGTTGGTGGAGCAGCCCGGGGGGAAGATGGTGGTGGAGTTGGTGGGCGCCTTCAACGAACTGACGGGTAGGATGGGCGGCGTTCTCTCCACCACCTCCTCGTCTCGGTTGCTCTTCAAGACTCTGAAGCTATCCATTCCCCTGCTCCAGGCTCTGCCGCTCGCTCCCGACGGACGCCCGCCGCTCTCCCGTGCTCTCTCTGTTGCTTGCCTTCTCGCTGATCTCCAGGTGTGCATATGCACTTCAGTGATATTTTCAACATATACCAAGGTGGAAAAGTAAAACCTTTTCTTCTGGTTGGAGATGATTGATCCATTCGCTTCGTAGGTTAAAGAAGCAAGTAAATTGATGGAAATGTTCAAATCTTGAGTTATACTTTACGAGGTCATTGGTCTTCACAGATGGCAAATATACTGGAGGGCTTTGTCTCTGTGAAGGAATGGAGTTCAATCTCTATGATCATATAAACCATGTGTTTGTTCTTTCTTTTCATTATCATTATAATTAAGTTCGAGCAATTCAGAAGAGGAGAGTAAAACGTAGCATTAAATTCCAATCATAAACAAAAATCTGCAAGATTTACCTATTCATATGAAGGAAGAACTTGGCATCAATTTAGGGTCAAAGACTAGTGAGGCTAAACTGCTCATCGGGTCATGGTTACTTCTGATTGGACATCTAGATTAATGGAAATCGTTTGATCTCCACTGTTTCAAATTGGTTTTGACTTGTTTGACTTAATATTTTTCTACGAACAGAATTCTATTTGTTTACGTGTTGGTCTACATTTACATTGTATGTTCTTCTTACAGTAAGGGTCTTGTGAATTTAAGCTGTGAAAATGTAGAACAAATTGATTGAACTTTAAGTTAACTAACACTAGTTGGAATAGTAGATGGATGCAGAAGTTATTTCTGCCGGCATGCTGAGGGAAGCTTTGGAGGCAGGTGCGATCACCTTGCATGAAGTCAAAAGCGAAATCAGTGTTAGTACTGCCCATTTGTTGCACGAGAGCATGCGCATGATGCATGTTCCTTCTAAAGTTGAGATATTAGATGACGAAAGTGCCAGTGCACTGAGGAGATATTGTTTAACCTACTATGACATCCGTGCATTGAGTCTAGAGCTTGCTGTCAAACTTGATATGATGAGGCATCTTGATTACCTCCCAAGATACCGCCAACAGATTAAGTCTCTGGAGGTACTGAAGATATATGCTCCACTAGCCCATGCAGTTGGAACAGGTTCTTTGTCGCTGGAGCTTGAGGACCTCTCCTTCCAATATTTGTTTCCCTATTCCTACCTATACATTGATACATGGTTGAGAAGTTATGAGACAGAGATCAGACCCCTACTGGAAGTGTACAAGGAGCAGTTGCTGCAGGTACTAAAAGCTGACAGTGAATTGGAAATGATGGTGGATAGCATTTCAATCCGTGGTCGATACAAGAGTCGTTTCAGCACCATGAAGAAACTGTTGAGGGATGGACGCAAACCAGAAGAAGTGAATGATCTCTTGGGTTTGCGGGTCATCTTAAATCCTCGACCTGGTGATGACATGCCAGAGAGGGGTGAAAGAGCCTGTTATAGGACGCATGAGATTATCCAAACTCTGTGGAAAGAAGTACCCAGCAGGACAAAGGATTATATTGCCAGGCCCAAGAAAAATGGTTATAGAAGCTTACATGTTGCTGTTGATGTCAGTGAAGAAGGAAGGGTGAGGCCACTGATGGAGATACAGATACGTACTAAAGAGATGGACTCTTTGGCTTCTGGTGGAGCTGCTTCTCATTCTCTGTACAAAGGTGGTCTTACAGATCCAAGTGAGGTTAGTAGCTTAAAATTCTTGTGGCTCAAATCACATCTTTTCCATGTCTCTCCTTTTATTTAATAAAATCAACTATATTACTTCCTAGGTATCAATTGGTAGAATGATTCAATAAAAGGCTTGTGTGTTCCAAAATTGTAGGATGCACCTGCACAATTCCTATAACTAGTTAATTGTCTTGACAAGATGCATTGTACATGAGCTGTTGCATATGATCTCCTTGATACCTGTATGTTTCTCTTTGAACCAATTATGTTTGTTCAATTTATCTTTTGCCAAATATCAGGTAAATTGACAAATGAAGCTCTATAGTTCAAAAAAAAAAGAACAAAAATCCTTTGAGATGATGAGTAGCTTTCAGGTGCAGCGCCACATACCAAGAAACTCCATGTTAGGCATCTAGAGACAGTATTGGTTTAAATGGCTATGTACATATTTTTATTAAATATCCTAGTAGGAATCAGGAATCAACTTTGGTTTTAATTGGCTACGTGTAGAGCAGGGTTTGTTGTACCAATGTATATCGCCTGTTATGGGCGGTATGTACCGGTCCGAAAGGGGACCGATACACGGATCCCTCTATACTAGGCAGTATCATTACATGACCCTGTATTGAGCAATACAGGGTTTGTACTAGTCTGTAACGGTCAAAATTTGACCGTTACCAACCAAGAGTTGAGATTGTCTTATTTTAAACAATCAAATTGATACAGAGTAGTAGATCAATGGCGAAACTAGAAGATCCGACATTATTCTCCATGCTCCGCACCTAAATATATCATAATCATACTTGCCTCAGGAGCCGTTTCGGACACGTGAAATTCACGACGATCAGACTTTGACAATCACCACATTGATGCACCAATGACATACAGTGTATTAATATACTATATCGTTGGATCAATTTTAGGATTAGATCAGACAAACATATCAAATTGATATACAGATACATAGGATCGAGGACCCCGATCGACCACCCATGGAGTCTCGTCGTTTCTTTTGGTGGTAAAACTACGTATATCAATCAATTGATTACTTGATTCATTTGAATCTTAAAGTTTATGTTGTTTTTAAAAAAAATCTAACAATTCAAATCATTTATTTATAGATAATTTAATATTAATGGGAGGATGGTCCAGAATGTACCATAAAACTCCTCCTCAAAGTCCAAAAAAAGATGTGTTACTATTTTTTTCTAATTTAGATTATTTTTGCTAAAATTATACTAAATTTATATTTATTTTCAACTTTAAAATCCTAATCAAACTTTTTTATTTTTCAGACATTTTTGGAGCTATTTTGGGTAATTTTGGGCGTACTATAGGTATGCCCTGGTGTACCGACATATGGTACATCAACACACCTCGATACATATCATACCAACAGCTGGTTGATACATCAGTACGGACCGATAAGATAAACCTTAGTGTAGAGTATACATAAATATTTCAGTTTTAACCTGCTATTTATTTATAAGCAAACAATGTCTTACGGTCAGTTTTGACCATAAATTTATAGGATAGTATGATGATTTTATGTTTGTCTCTATTCTGTACCAATGACTTAGTTAACCTGAGTGTTTTTCAAATTAGAGCTATATACATAAATCAGTTTTATTTTATTTAATGAATGATTCTGAAATTTAAATATATGAATAGTTTGAACTTTGTTGAACTGAATATCCATTAATAAATACAAAGTTAACCAGCTTCTGCTACTGCTCGGTTATCCCTGAGAAACATTGAAATAAAAGAGGTGACTGCTGGCTAAATCAGTGCATGCAATATTATGTATGAGGCACCATGGTTGTTCCAGATTAATTTAACATTTCAAGGTGGGCTGGAAAGCCTGCTATCATGGCATGTATTTCAAGAGGTGACACAGATGGATCATAAGCATGATTTGTTGACCTATTAGTATTTGACGTGAAACCAATATTCCAACTTTTAATCACTTTCTTTGTTGGTGACAGGGAACTTTTCAAAATTATATTTTTAGATGTTCAGAAAAGCATAAATAAGATATTTTGATGCTTTTGTGCATCAGAATTGTGAAAGCATAGAATTCATGTATGACATGTACTGCTGAAAGCCTGAAACTCTAAATGAGGAAAATTATGGCAAGATGAAGCTAAAAACTTTTTCAAAAAAATATTGCATCTTACAACTTTCTGGTGCTGATGTAATTAGATGTAGGTTCTTTTTTGTTTTTGCCGCAGTTGGAACATATCATCAGCATAAAATACACAAACATTGAAGAAGATATATTAAACCAAGGATTTTGTATTCAAACGTGCAGAATGTGGTCTTTTATCCAATGTGTCTAATTATTGATAACTCTATGAAGTCATTTGTTGTTTAATTCAATGATTTTAATTTTGAATAATACAGCCCGTACTGGGCGATAGCGTCGATTGGGGCTGTTTTCGCTCTGCTATCACCTTAAATCGACCAGTAGAGGGAGAAGAAAAGAGAAAACCTGAAGATCCGGCGTCGCTCTCCCTCGACGATCCTGATCCGTCGCCGCCCTCCCTCGTTAAACGCCGCAGATGATGTCGCCTCCTCGTCTGAGGTGACGAAGCCTCGGCATTGTCGGCGATTTCTACTCATCCGCACGGGGAGAGAAGAAGCCTTGGCAACGTCTCGACAACGTCGCGGGGAGAAGCGGTTTCTTCTCCCCATGTAGGCAGAAGGAACGAGGTATTTTTTTTTAACCTTTTTAGAGGAGAAGGAACCCTCGATTGCTTCTCCCGACGTGGGCAGAAATTGAGTGACGTCGCCTTTCTTTTTTTTTTTTCGCACGGGGAGAAAGAAACGACTTTTTCTCCCCATGTGGGTAGAAATCGAGCAACGTCACCTTTCTTTTTCCTTTTTTTTTTTTTTTTTGCGCGGGGAAAAGCCTTTCTCTCTTTTTTTTTCATGCGGAGAGAAGGAAACAGTTTCTTCTCCCCATCGTGCAGAAACCGAGCGACGTCGACGATGCAACATCACCTTTCTTTTCCTTTTTTTTTTTTGCACGGGGAAACCGAGCGACGTCGCCTTTCTTCTTTTTTTTTCGTGCGGGGGAGAAGGAAACAATTTCTTCTCCCCATACTGGCAGAAACCGAGCGATGTCGCCTTTCTCTTTTTTTTTTTCACGCAGAGAGAAGGAAACCTCCTTCTCACGCGGGTAGAGCACGGAGAGAAGGAAACCTCCTCCTCACACGGGCAAAGAGTAGTATACCGAAACGTACCGCTCGGTATACTTATACCTTAGCATATCGAGTTGAGTTTGAAACTCCGGTACGGTACAAAATTATGAACCTTGGTTTAATTCAAATTTTCTTCAAATATTTTGTGAAAAACATCACCGAAAATGTATCTCACAAAGTTCATTCTGACTACAAGATGATGAGTTGCAAGGGTATATATATTGCTAAATTACAGTGAGAGTATTGTGTTGACTACAGTATGGTACATTTTTGTTCAAGAAATTAAGTAGATTATATGCGTAACTGTGAGTACAAATGGGACAAAAAAGAAGGAAAAACAGCTGTTTGTTAGCAATGTAAATTTATATATAACAATATCTTACTTCATACATTGCAATTTAAGCAAAACCAGAATTATCTTCAAGTCACATATACTTATTAAGTGTTCTGTTGTTTCCTGCTTCCCAGGTTATCTAAATTCGTCTTATTAGGCTTTCTTTTTTTTGCATCAAAAGAATTTCTTCAGACTTTTCTATGTGAATAATCCTACTATCTTTTATTATTCACATATACTTATTAAGTTCTATGTTGTTTACTGCTTCTCAGGTTATCTAAATTCATCTTCTTAGATTTTTTTTTTGTTCATCAAAAAAATTTTCTTTAGACTTTTCATTCTGTATAATCCTACTATATTTTATTATTCATGTATACTTATTAAGTGGTCTGTTGTTTCCTGCTTCCCAGGTTATCTAAATTCATCTTATTTTGCTTTCTTTTTTTGTTCATCAAAATAATTTCTTCAGACCTTTTTGGGTAATCCTACTATCTATCTTCTAAATTCAGGCAAAACGGTTGAAAGCAATCATGATGGCTGCAGCCGAACTTGCAGCTCTGCGTCTTAGAGATCTCCCATCTGCAAACCATAGAGGGGGACTCGATATTGACCACAGAAATAGAATTTTTCGCCTTCTTGATAAAAATGGTGATGGGAGAATCAGTATTGAGGAACTTACTGAAGTGATGGAAGAGCTTGGTGCTGGAAGTAAAGATGCTCAGGAGCTCATGCAACTTCTTGATTCAAATTGTGATGGTTCTTTGAGCTCTGAAGAGTTTGATCTGTTTCAGAGACAGGTAAGGTTTCAGTATAATGGCAAGATACACTGGTTGGCCTGCTGGTTTCTGTAGGTAGTATCTGTTGCAATTCATCATCTCCCTCTTTCATTGTTATTCTGAATAGTTCAATCAATCACTAATTTGTAAAGGAGTTCAATCTTTGTTTTCTGTTGCGCATTTTTCATCTGAAATGGTGGAAACTAATGTCATCCAGTGAAACAGAGGCTCGAATAAGATGATTTGAATTCGACAGTTTGAATTGGGAAGGCCATATGAAGACTATATCTTGGAAATTAGTGCAGCACTTTAGAAGGCACAAATTAGAATAATGATTCTTAATGAATAAACAGCCGCTGACATGCTTTTATATCTTGATAAACTAATGAATCAGCTGGTATTACAGGTTCAATTTATGAGGAATATGGAGGAAACAGATGATCACTACAGAACCATGCTGGGAGAGAAGCTTCATATGAGTGACAGTACTGGCTTAATTCAGGTTTACCGCAAGGAGTTAGGTGATAAATTAGCAGTGAGCTAAATTCATTTAAATATAAACTATCAGGTGATCAAACTTACATACAAAAATGTAAATATTTTTTCATAGTGTTTTAATTCTCTTCATGAAAATGTCCATCTGTCTATCTGTTGTATTATCTTTTTTTTTGCCCTCAATACTTCATCTGGCCATTTAGCATCGCCTGTAATTACCAAATTGGAAATTGCTTCCTTCCTGAGATTTGCCATGCAATTTGAACAATTTGATATCTAATGAACTCCATGAGATTTTGTTGTTTTCCTGCAACCTTGTGCTCTCTGATGAGGAACCGCAATGAAATGGGCCAAAAAAAAACAAAAATACGACTAATGATGATGTATTCTGTGTGTTTCAGTGTCTTTGGCATCAGTAGAAATGGTCAATATGTGTTAAGTGTAATTATAATCAGATGTATTGACCTTTAAAGTTGCAGAGATAAACTTGCTTCTTCTTGCCATTACATAATCAAATGTCCAAACCCTATATAAACTGTTTGTTGCTTGCTCAACAGCATGATCATCCAATTCATCTAACATTTGTTCTTCTTGCTTCAGCATTGATTGGACACCTTGACGTTGGTTGACCTGAAGATTACATAGGGATGAAATTGAGGTTAAGTTGTGCTCTTCTTTTGTAATCTTTCTGCGGCTTCTTTATAAATCCAAATGGTGAATTGGACAGTGTACATTAAGCTTACACAGATTCGGGCTGAGGTTTATCACTTATACAACAATACACTAGATTTATCGCATATATAATAACACACTAATTAACACACAAAGTGTCGATGCAAGACAATATGAAGATTATGTTGAGCTTAGATGAACATAAGTCTAAATATGTATACAGTGTTTAATGTGTAGATTGATCTTTTCATAGCAGATTAAACGTTTATGATTTATGATTAAATCCTTATCAATGAGAGCATGCTGTACAATGTTCTTTCCTAATCTAGCTTTTACGTGGCGCTTTGTCTAGCCATAGGATCTTAAGTTACCGCCTCTAATCACCGTTCATTTCTGTCCTAAACCCATCTGCGTTTGTCTTCTTACGGTGGCGATTCATCCTACACACCGGGCATCACGCAAGAGCCGTAGGATCTTATGTTGCCTATCACACCGTTCATTTCTATCACGAACCCCATCTGCATTGAAACAGACACGAGTTGACTGACGACTGGACGACATGCCGCCTCGTGGCTCGGCCGCTACGATAACATATCATACGACTTAACGGACGACCAGATGACGTGGCGTACCTTCTGTCGTCAGTTAAGTCGTCCCGCAAAGCAGCTCAGTCCGAGGAACCCACAGTCCCTGGCACGATCGTAAAATTATTTTTGATCTTGATCAAAAGCGATGGACGGTAGAGATGAAGAGTGGAGGATGGCTTAACGGTTTTGGAAGGGCCTGGCCGAGAGAGAGAGAGAGAGAGAGAGAGAGGGAGAGGATGCGGAGCGAGGAGGCGAGAAAGATTCTGGGGTTCTCGCCAGACTCGTGCCCCACCCGCTCTGAGGTAAATCTGATTCGCTTCTCGTCTCCCTCTCTCGCCCCTCTCGGATGATCAAGTGTCTTCGTCGGCGTTTCCTTCAGGGTTTGCTTTCTGATGTTCTTGATCGGTTCTAGAATACGATTCTTTCCGTCTTTATTAGTCAGATCAGATGTAAATGCCGTTGTAACCTAGGCCAAAAGTTAAATGGAATCTGGAGAGGGAATTGCCCTACGGATCTTTGCTGATTGTTAAGCTCCGATGAAGGGGACATACTTCTTTGGGAAACAAAAGATCAGACGTAACAGTCGTCCTCCTTTTTCTTTTCTTTTGAGAAAACACCCTTTTTGAAGTTGTAAAATCTTGAGCAAAACAGGGTTCATAGTATTTGGTTATCCCATATGGATCTTGTGGTTTTATCAGTGAGCTCTCAAAAATGTCGAGTTGGGGGCAGCAGTAGTAGTCATGATCCCCGTTGAACGGTAAAACCCTGTCACTTGCACTTGCGTGCTTAATCATCATAGGGTCGCTAATCTTGATAGGTAATTTTAGATGCATTGAAGTGATATTTAACAATTCTAGCACTGACCTTGGTATATAATATTAGATATTACAAGATACATTCTTCTCTAGTTTATGATGTATCATGCTTGGCAAGCCATTGGCAACAGGAATCTATTAGCATTAAGAAAAGGAATAGCCATTGTAGGCAATGCTATGCAGTCTATACACTGACAAAACTGTAACATATCTGGAAATTGAAATGGTTGTTCAAAGGTTAACCCCTGTTATTAACATTTACGTACAGATTCTAGTTGAAATGGGTGACTTTTGGTCCTAGATACAATATGATAGTTTCAAAGATTCTAGCGTTGGCCTTTGTATAGGCTACAGAGTCCTTAACATAATTCATGTTATTGACTGATTCTGGCCAATTTTAGTTGATTTCACAGCATCAATAGAAAAAGTTAACGAGAGGAATAGGAGGAGAAGAAGAGAAACCAAGATAAATGATGAAGAATCGACTATTGAGTATGAAACAATAGTGATGGAGCTACTGTTTTACTTTTGGGTGTCACATATATATTTTCTGTTTATATCCTCTATTCATTATCATGTAAAATAAAAAAGTAAATAATATAAAGAGAGAAAAAAGTGAACAATAAAGAGTGGTCCTTGACCTCCTGGAAATGGAGGGTGCTATCATAAAGAATGCAGATGTCAAAGGATATTAAAATAGTCTCAATTCTTTTATCTTTATTTGTTGTTGCATTAACATATACATGCATAGCTATTAGTGAAGAATCTATGCTAAAAGTCATGTTTGTCATTATCTTTAAAGCTACAGGTTGATAAGTTTAAATGCTTTATAATGATATATAATAGCTATTTACTATAGTAAATCATTGTATGATATGATTAATATTTATACTTTATTAACGTTATTTTTTAATAAATTACTTTATAATACTTTTATTGTTATTTTACATTTTGTTTGTCTTTTATGTTCAAGTTTTCCATGCACTTAGAAAAAAATATCTTATGAAATATGAAGATAAAAGAATACTCTGGCATAAAATGTTTTAATTTCTTAAAAAATCCTTTATTTATTTTAAATTAATTCTCAGACAATTTTGGTCCCATCAGTTTGATCAACCAATCTCACTTAATCCCGATCTTGTTATCTCTTGCCTTTCCCGATGGGTACAAAATTTTAGAACTATGGATATTTGATTTTTTTATTTTCTGGTTTATGTTGCATAATACTTTCTAAACAATTGGCAATTGGGATCCATCTATATGAACTATAGGGATAGCCATTTAATTGAAAGCTTTGTATATAATCTAAATTTAATGGTTATTGTTACATAAAAATTGTTTACATAATGAGTACTACAAAGTTAATGAACTTCAGTCACAATTGTTTACATAATGAGTACTATTTAAATACTGTCAGGCATTGATTCCTCTATCTAGCATCTTGAAAATGGACTTGCTCCAACATTTTACTAAATTCATATGGTGGTAGGCATCAATATCTCTTACTGAGGTCCTGATCATGCTTTCATGCAGTTGCATTCATACATTAAGGTAGCAATAACCAGTTGGTATTGCTAACCACTGTTCGAGCCCTGTAAATTCATCTCATCATTATTGCATAACATGTTCACTGTGGTTTATGCAACACTAGCATGAGCCCTTAAACTTTTAGAGTATCACCCAGGGAACATCATGACAATGAACCCTCACCAAATCACAGATACAAATACTGTATCCCATAAAATATGTTGTAGTCGTGTGTCATGTGATTTCAGTTTGATGGTTTCTTTTATAACCCTTCTGTAACTTTATTGTTTTTGATGAGGCATTCTGGTACAATGCAAGATTATTGGAGTTGATTCTGATAATTGTGTTCTATAAGCATCTAGGTTTTCTAGACAGAATATCTCACAGGTGGTGAGCTTTTTCAAAATGCTACCTCCCATTATTGTTTTATAAGTCTCAAAGGTTGTGAGTTAAGTAAACAAACTCTCAGTGATTTAAAAAGCGCTATGCGCCAAGGTTCAAAAACGCCCGAGGCGCTAGGCACTCGCCACTCGCCCGAGTGAAGCGAGGCGCTAAAATATAAAAATATATAATATAATTAATATAATTATTTAAATAAAAAAAATATGCTATTAAATTAAGAAAATCGAGTACAAAATCGCAATGTCATATTAATAAAAAGTCTCAAAAATCAAAACAATAAAATTTTACATCAAATCTATTGAGTTTCTCTGTACACTTGCCATTTATTTTGAAACCTAACAGTAATTTTAAATAAATAAAAATTAATAGTATTAAAATTAAAATAATATATTATTAATCTAATAAATAAAAATACTATTATTAGTATACAATTAGTGGTATACTGTTAACAGTATAGTGAGAAGAGTGTGAGAAGACCGAGGCTACTGAGGCAACGACAACGGTAGAGGGAGCGGGAGCGACGAGCGGTAGCGGGAGTGGGAGTGGGAGCAGCGAGCGACGACAATAGCGATGAGCGACGATTGTGGCAGCGGCGAGAAGTCGACGAGCAGCGATTGTGGCAGCGGCGAGTAGCGACAGTGGCAGCAGAGAGTAGCGACAGCGGAGAAGAAATCTCGACGACAAAATCGCGAGTGTTAGGGTTGGGGAAGTCGGGGAAATCGTGAGAGAGAGCCTATCGGTGATTTAGTTGGTTCGATTGAACCAACTAAAGCACCGGAGACCGAACCAGATGTAAAACACTGGTTCGGTCGCCTGGTTTAACCCGGGCGCTCGCCCGAAGCGCCCGACGCCTAGGCTCAGGCGAGCGCCTAGGCGGCGCCTCGTTGAAGCAAGGCGCTTGGACATGAAGCAAGGCGCTCGGGCCTCGCCTCGCCCGAGCGCCTAGGCGAGTGCCCGAGCGCCTATTGAAATCACTGCAAACTCTTTTAACATGTTCATGATTCATGCTAGGATGCATTGTAATGTTGGAACTTTCTGTAGCAACAGTCAGAATGATCTGGTCATATGTTATGACAGCATATAACCAATCCCACATTGTTTCTTATCTTCATTTATTGTCACACTCTATGCAATCAATTAGTATCATGTCACCTTTTTTTTTGTGCAAGCAGAATCAATGAATTTGTGCATGTGAAAGTTTGAAACTGCTTTACGTTTTATATTCTGCATTGTTAATTGTTTTGTATTTTCTTCTTTAGTTCCCCAGTGCTGTCTGAACATGATCATTTATATATCCATGAAGAATAACAAATTTATGTTGAGAAAGTGATTTTCTGGATTAGTTTGTGTCATATATGGAACTCCATAAGTCACATATGGTTGCAGATTAAGGCAGCATATAGAAGGAAAGCATTTGAGTCTCATCCTGACCTATTTCCAGCACATGAAAAATCCCAAGCTGAATCAAACTTTAAGCTGGTACTTACTTCTACTGCTTGTTTTCTTCTTCGTGCCAATAAGGTTCTTTTCTTTTATTGTCTTCATGTTTTTTTTAATCTTAGGTCCATTAGTAAAGCTATTCTTGATGTTGGTGCTTTGTATTTTGAAATTCTAGAGAAGTTTTAAGAAAACAAGAAGGTATTAACATGCATAGAATATTTTTATTCTAGGAATCAGTGTCATTAGATATCATGAAGTTTGATTGATATATTTCTTTCAAACACGTGTTGTTCAGCTTTATTCTTTACCTATATAGGTTGTGTGTTATTTCTGCAACTTATCATTTTAATCATCTCCTGTAGATTGCAGAAGCTTATTCATCTCTGGGGTCAGGTAATTTTTTTGTTTAATTATAATTTTATGCGTTATAATTTACAAACTCCCCTAGTTGCATAAAGTTTAGTGATATCTATTGGATATCAACTGTTGTTCAATCATATTATGGCAAAAGGTCGATTACAATGGATAATAAACAACTAATGGATTTTTCTTTGCAGTTACAACTTTCTAAGCTTCCATTTTAATATTGTGACTTGGTTACGCAAATTTTAGTGACACTTATTTGAATGTATTATCACAATATGACCAAAGTTCGATGAAAGAGGACAATAAACAACTATAAGGTTTTTGCTTTATTGAAGATATAGCTTTTTAAGCATCCATTTTTATGTTGTATGTCTTGGTTGGCTTGGTTTTCAGGCCTGTTTCAACAGTTTTTTAGAGGTTTATAGCAGCTGTTTGTTTGAGGGTTAGCGAGCAAATGTTTGTTTCTGTTAGCATTATAGAAGTTTACATCAGTAAACAAGAAATTGCTGATGGCTGGTACCTTTTGCTCGGTCACAACTGATGCTGAGCAGAATTAGTAGAAAAAAAGAGTAAATTTGAAGGCTGGAATTGCTTTATACAGCATGTAGAGGAAAGCATTATTCACTCATGCCCTGATTCCTGATTCTGGATGAGTGACGGCGTAACATAGAAGACATTTGATATACAAACATAAACAATCAGCATACTGCCTGCAACGATAGATTATCAATAGGGGTCCCATTGGAAGAGAACTATGACTTCCCTCTTGAGAACTGCACACCTCTGGAGAACATATGAAGAAAATATGTTGCTTACCAAAGAGTTGTTAAAGCACGGTTGGGTTGCAGGCAGCAATTATAGCTCATAATATGGTAGGATTAAAAGTCAGTTAATTAGGTGACATATGATTAGAACTAATTGATCTGTTACCAGCTTAGGCCTGTAGAAGTTTAGTTCCAGTTTATTTATAACAAAAGTTCACTGCTTATTAACTGATTTTACAGATCCAAATATGTAAAGTATGTTATTCCTTATAGTGTCAATTTTAGGCTTACTACACTCATCATCAATTTCTATATTTCATCATGTTGACTTTATCTTCAAATTCACTAGCAGTGGCCCAAGACTTAGTTTTGTTTGACAAAAAGATGCAGCAGGAGGTAGGGAGGTTGAGCGTTTAAGTCCTTGCGTTGGATGGGTGGAGAATCCCCTCTCCTTTACTTTTCAGAGCTATAATTATATGGGGGTCCCACTCGCTTGAGAGAGAAAAAGAGGAAACTTGTGGGATTCCTCAAGCTTCAGTTCTCTTTTCCATTAAATTCTACTCGCGTTACTGCAAATCATCCTTGTGCTGGCTAGATATTTGCTTCTTTTGTTTTTGGTTCTTTAGCTACAGACAAGAAATAAAAACAGCCGTGCAAGGTCATCGAGTTCCTAGCGCCCATGTTTTTGGTTCTTTCTCCTTGGCTACCATAGATTGGATTCATCCAAAGGCAGTTCCCTAGGTAGGAAGATAAAACAAATTTGTATAGTTCTAACCAAAGTTCTTAATCTCTTCACTTCTGTTTCAATTTCCGTTCAGCAGCTAGAATATTTCTCCTTTATTTCATAGAACTGTTTACATTGGATCTATACCACGTTAGGCGATATATGGAAATATATATTCAAAATCTGGAGTGCACAGGAAAAGTTTTTGCATAATCAGTGTTTATGTATTTGATTCTTTATTATAATAGATGTTCTTGTATTATGCTATCTTGAAAAAAGACATGAGAATTTTGTTTAGAAAAGAAATAAATTATGTTAATAATTAATGAAAAACAAAGTATTGTTTTATGGTTATCATGCCACTGGTTTTGATACACTGGCTTCATCATGTGATGTGTGCCAGCAAAAGAGGCAGATAAATGTCAAGAATGTCAGGTAGTTTCAGTAAAAGCAAGATATGGATCTTAAGGTGCTCTTTTCTGTATGTCATGAAATGAACCTCTTTAGAGGATCTCTAGTCTTGTCTGTAGGTATAACCATATAAGCATCTCATTTCATCATTGATCTGTTTTGGCATTATTTATCAGGTTATAAATATACCCTATCAATGGTTCTCTGACTAAATTTTATGTGCTCTTTTCTGTATGTCATGAAATGAACCTCTTTGGAGGATCTCTAGTCTTGTCTGTAAATATACCCTAGCAATGGTTCTCTGACTAAATTTTATTTGCAACACATGATAAGTTGAATTATCATCTATATCGAACTTATGTGATCAAATCTTTCTACTGTTCATGGTTATGACAGGCGCAAGATCAAGGAGTCCATATGGAGGTAAAATTTAGCTTTTGTCAGTTTCATATATTGCATTAAGTTGCATTGATTTATGGAATGTACATGTTTAACCAGCTACGACTGTGCGAGTTGTGAGGACTGGCGTTCCCATGGGGTATGGAAAGGGCAATCGAGCTCTGATAACCATCCCTTTTCTCCTCCTGATTGCAGGAACTGTATCCTTTGCCGGCTTAAATGCAGCGAGGTAGGTGAACTTTCAGCTGCCGTGGTTCTACACCTGGACTTCTGTCTCTCAACTGTTTGTTCTTTCCTTGATTTTCTCAGGGCATATAAAAGGCAAGAGAAGATGTGTCCCTCTTACAACCCATTTCTTCCATAGACCACTTCACCGGACAATTGGTAACAAAATGTATAATTGTTTGTGTACATACTGCACATATATAACATTTAAAAGTCAGGTTTAGGGTCATCGAGCTTCATCAAACAGGTCGGGTGTTTTGGATGAGATCTTGCAGACACAGAGTGATAGTGCAATAAAATGATGGAACACAGATTTTTCATCAGTTATATGTGTCATATGAAAAAAAAAAAGCTGCACATTACAATCCTGTCTCAAATTAAGCCACAGATGGAAAAGGAGACATTAATTGGAAGAATGGAAATATTTCCTATGTTGTAGTTACACCAATATTAAAATATTGTATTAAACAATGTACAAACTTTCAAAGTGATGATTATCTTCTGACACTAGTGTTTGAAATATTTGTTTTTATGTTTTTCTTAATTCATGATTGACAAATGAAGCAAAATAGATACAAAAGAACCGTGAGATCATGTATGTCAATCATAAAGCAAGGACCAGGGATGCAAGAGGTGTGGTAGCAGCAAAAGTACCCATATATTGTGTATGTATATTATATGACTTTTATCAGGTGAAAAGAAAAAAAAGGATCTCTAGCCTCATTCAGGCGCCATTATCAACACAGGAAAACGAAAATGAGTTGATAGTTATCACATTTTATTTCAGAACAAATTTGAAAATCTTTACAGGACTTTGGATTATCGAAGTCATTGTGTCCCTAACATGAGAGGTGTGTGATATACATCATGATCTGCACATTCCCCCAATAAGAGTTTAATAGGAATCTGTTAAATGGATTTTTTTAGTATTTTTGGGGACGCAAAATATTTGTTTAATTTTAAAAAAAATTAATATTTTGTGAGTTTTCTAAATTTTGATTATGAAAGAAAATATATTATCTCCTATATCTTCGTTATAGGCAGTACGACAGTGAGTTGGAAACTCAAGTTCTAATCTACTATTGCACTTTCAATCACCGAGGTGGAATTCATGATACTAATTGAAGCCATGAAGAAAGCAATTTGGTTGAGCATGATTTTTCCGATCAGATGTATCATAATAGAACCAAACATATTAATATCAGATAGATATGCTGACGAAGACGCTTCTTCGAGCTAAATTTGCTTGAATTTGGTCAACCTGTATCGAGTTTTGGTTTAATGCTCTATGAGATATTTTTGGTAGAAGAGAAATAAAGTTTCTGAGCTGAATAAGACACCAAATTTTCGTTATGGAGGAGAATTTATGAAAAATCGACTCAAATCGGAGTCAAAATTAGGGCTCCATTATGTTGACCGCGCCCATGCCATTCACCATGGCCGTTACCGCTGTCTGCACTCGCGCCACTCACCGCGGTCATCACCGTCGCCCGCGCTCATGCCACCCACCATGGTCCTCACCGCTGCCTGCGATCATCGTCGCATGTGCATTTCATGCTTTAGTCCTCACAGCAGATCATGCTCGCGGGAGGTGAGGGCATAACAATAATATAATTTTGATATTATTGTTACTTTCTGTTTTGTTGTATTTGGATAATTTTTTTTAGTATAAAAAATTATTGGGTGTGGATTCCAACCTCCACTTAAAAATAAATATGGGTTGGAAACACTCCTTACTAATATCTTACTAGCAACAAATTATAGAATGACAATTAGAACCTCAAGCTCATGCAAATGGGTTGGTTACATCACCCCACCATAAACTAGTATTTCTATACTCTTTCATCAGAATTGGAATGATCACTAGAAATTATCAGTATGACTAATCGAAAATTTCTGAATTGATGTTGATACAAGTGTGCTCTGAGAATCTTAATATTTGAATTAATATACATGTATTTTAAAGAATATATATAATTCCACCGAGGCAAGAGAGAACAGTGCGATGATAGCGGCGGTGGGCGGCAAGTCCCTCTCACACGCCGACCCCACCGAGCCACGTATCGTTGGTACGGTGGGTCCCATCAACAAAGCATCTCACCCGACCCCGACCTTCCCCACCTGTTTACCCAACGATGCCGCACAATTATTAGCTTCATGCAGCAAATTTCACCGTATGATCTCCATCAGACGACCCACAGATGCGGGTATTGGTCACCGAGTCGCGCTTATTATCTGACGTCGTCGGCGTCGTTGAAATTGAAACGGAACAGTAGAGATGAGTCTTTGTTTGAAGAACTATGCGATGCCACGACACGACGGGTTTGATTTGATTTGATTTGATTTGGGCTTCCGAGGAAGTGAGTCTTCGAGAGAAGTTTCTTCCTCCCTCCGCTTCTCTCTCTGCTGGGAGAGGGATTTCGATCTGGTGTTTTAGAATTCGAATCTTTTGTGGTGATCTTTCTGGTCGTGATAGAGGAGGCGGAGAGGTTGGTTTGATCCGAGGAAGCTTAGTGATTTAGAGTGGTTCCAGGCGTTGGTATCCAGGGGCATTTTGTGCTACTGGGGTTTTTTATTTCTTGCGAGAGGAATGGCGAGCGATCTGCCGATTAACCCGGAGCTTGAGGAGATCGATGGCAAGATCCAAGACATCTTCCGAGCTCTTCAGTAAGATCATTCGCCTGTTCCACTTTTAGTCGTTGATTTGATAGCTCTGTTTCTCCGAATCCGTTCACATGCTTCATTAATTGGTGTAGATTCGTCCTTTTCTTTTGAGATGTGTATGTAATGTGTTTTTGTCAAGTGTAAAAGGGATATTGGATTGTCAGATCAGCATTCAGCAGAATTCGGATGGATCTTTGTACTTTTAGATCTTATGTCGGTTGAAATGTAATGTAATTCGAAGAATTAATTTTATCTTTACTGGATCATGCTGGCTATATGTTTTGACTTTGACCATGTTGAATTCGTGTTATTTGATAAAAGCAAAAAGAGGAACAAGGGGACTTGAAAATCACCTTGAACACACTGGTTTTGTTTATACGGAACTTTTATCATAAACACATGCTAAGTAGTGAAAATGATTACCGGGAGCATTCATGTTTGTATCACAGGGCAGATCTGCATAATACTATGGGAAACTAGATGTTAAGGATCCAATTATATGAAAAAAAACTTGGCATTAGATAACGACACTAGCTCTGCAAGGAAGAAACTAGAGCTGCAGTGGTGGTTTTGGCACTATAAATTTTCTAAATACATGGCAAGAACTAGTGGGTGTATAAAAAAGGCATGTGCTTTTTGGTTTTCTAACAGATTGATAACCTAATTTCAGTTGGCGGGAAGGAAAAAATTTTGGGTTTGTAGAAATTGGTAGAGGAAACAAGTTTTCAGTCATTTAAAATTTACAATACACAGAAATGACAACAGTTCAGTATTTATTATACTGAATTTCTTGAAGGTGACCACCTTTTGGTATAGCTTAGGTGGTATTGAACAAATGGAGAAAAGCAAAATGGTGCTGGAATTGGTCAAAATACCAAATAAATGAATACCATGTGTAACTTTAAAAGTTTCAGTTAATCGTAACTTTAAAAGTTTCAGTTAATCAATGGTGTGTAATGTAGCTTACACTTGGAATAACATTTATAAGAGTTTAAGCTAAAGGCAATAGAAAACAAGGGGAAAGAATCAACTTCATCTATCTTGTGTTTTTATTTCCTATTAAGGTGATAACGTGTCTTCATGCGGATGGGAGGAACTTTTTTGCCTGTAATACAGTAAATTTAAAACTGATTTTTACTGAGGATATGTTATGTTGCAGAGTGAAAAATGATCTTAAATAGTTATATTTTGGTATTGCTAATGACATGCATGTTGCATGGAATTTTAGGACCAGAGTCTACTAATTTCAATATTTCTCATGAAGGATCAACATTAGTTTTCTAGGTGTTTACATCATCATGACAAAATTTATATTTGAGTTTTCTTCTTGAAATGGCAGTAAGAAACTGTTTTCCTCTCAAAGATCTATAAATTTGTTTATTTATGATTAGAGTTCACATTTTCTTCTTCGGCTCCTTTAATCATAAGTTATTTTTTTCCTTGAAGCTACATGGTACAATTTACTTTTACTATGCATGGTTAGAAATGTCATCACTGGATCGTGCCCCTTCACAAAAATTATATAACTGATCTAGTAAATTCTGATCATGTTGATCAGTATTTTTTTCTCATACTCAAGGTTTGTGGGATGACCTGTTTCATTGTTATTGTATTTTTCTGTACTTAAGGATACTCTTATTTTCCTTCATTTCCATTGAATTTTTGTTAAATGCTGCTTCGAATTTTCAATCCTCATTCCATTTGTTCATATTTTGGAACTGGTTTTTAAGTTTAATGCTTGCTTCAGTGCAAGAAAGTAGAAACTTGATGAATTCCTTGCTGTAATTGGTTTATTGACCATTCAGTACCAAAGGCAGAGCCTGGGAAGTCCCTGTTGAGAATTGATTAATACTGACAATTACTTTTCCTGCGGATTCTCTGCACTTGGCAGGAATGGATTCCAGAAATTGGATAAGATTAAAGACCCTAATAGACAGTCTAAACAGCTGGAGGAGCTCACTGGGAAGATGAGGGAATGTAAGCGGTAGGTGTTTATTTTTTTGATATATAAGCTGTGGTTTTCATATCAGTGGATACAAGTAGCTTTATTGTCGACAGCTTTACCACTTGCTTGTATAGTAATGAAAGGTGACCTACTTCGCATGTTTAGTTTTTGTCACCTGAAGGGACCTTTAATGATTTTATATTATTGGCATGTTAACCTTGGCAGGTTAATTAAAGAGTTTGATCGTGAACTTAAAGATCAGGAGAGTCGAAATCCACCAGAGGTTAATAAGCAGCTCAATGAGAAGAAGCAAACCATGGTGGTTAATTTGTTCCTTTGTTCTCGCATTTTTCTTTTGATTCTTTTGTTAATTTTAACTAATTTCCACTGCATTATCACAGATTAAGGAGCTCAACTCATATGTGGCTTTGAGGAAGACGTATGTTTTACATTATTTTTTGTTAATATTTCTTCTTTAGCCTTGTTTTTCTGATAATTTATTTTCTGTGACTTCACAAACATCCTTCTCAACCATTATGAGCTAGAACTTGGTAGTGTGACTTGTTGTCTAATGTTGAATGTGCTGCCCACTTTGTGGACTCTTTATGTGTGAAAGCTAGCATTTCCCTCGAACGTGGTTTACCAAGCTCCAGGTGTAGATTTTGACATTGCAATTCATGTGATTTTTATCCTCCTTTTCTTAGGACCAATTCAGTTACTCTCTTTTGTTTGTCATAGCAGTGCTCTAAAGGAAATAATGGTTCTATAAACCTTCCAAAAGATAAATTGGACTGCCAATATGACACAAGCATGTTTATATTTTTACTGATTTTTCATACATATGCTCTTCAAAATATGAGTATTTGCTGATGTATCTATCAAGTTTTTGTATTTTCTTCAACACCAGTCAAAA